TTTTGAGTTGGCTGGATTTGATACTCACTTGATTTTGACCATGGGATTTCCACAATTGCCATGGTAATGTTTATAAAAATAAATGTAGCTCTGGGTGATGGATATGACATTGAGGTAAAGTCAATACATGCTGAATGGTTTCCCCATCTAAATGCAGGTCAGCAGCTTGCTGCTTCAAGCCAAAGACCATTGTAAAGTCACCTAAATTATATCAATGGGAGCAAAGCGCAGAGAAAGAATCTGAATGAGCTCAGAGGGAGAGTAAATGGTCCCTCTGTGCTGAGGTCCTACCCGGTTTGATCTTTTTTCTGTAGGGAGCAGCTTGACCCAGTGTCCTGTAATGATGTGGGAGCTGGGGCAGACTTCCATCATGAAGCATGATAGACATGTTCTCATGGTGCTAGGATGCTAGATTCTTAGCTGGCTCAGCCAATGGGTTAAATGTTTGGTTGATAGAGACCTACCTTGGTCAGGAATTCTGACTCAACCCCTGTGGCTGTAACTCTGGGAAGCATTCAGGATTGCCACATCTCTTTCAGCTGTGAAAGAATAACGATTTGTTTGTTAAGGCCTGTTAGATCTCTCAAGGGGAAGAAATGTCTTGGCAAAAGGAAAGTGTGTGTGTGGGAAAGAGTAAGGGAATAGGAAGGGGGTTGTCAAAAACAGAGACGAGGTCCTGCCATTGGTTCATTTGTCTCTCTAAAATATCAGGATCTGCTGCTAGTTATTATGGACATGTCAGTCTCTGTGGTTGTCAGATACTTTCTTGAAAGTTAAAACATCAGTATCAATTTTCCCATCCCATTGGAGCAAATTTCTTTAGTTCTTGTTGAGTTTAGAAACACACCTGTGCTGGAGTGAACAGGATTTTAAACCTAATTTTCTAGCAGTGTTTGGAACCAATCATTGGGCAATTCTGATACTCCTGTGGGTTGGGATAGAAGGCTAAATTAGAATGCTGCTCCTATTTCACAGATGAAGAGATTGAGGCATGAATTGGGGAAATAACTAGAATCATCTAGTCAGTAGGAAGAGAGACGAAGATTATGTATAACGCATGGGTGTCTGCCAAAATGCTTAGACCATTAGGAATATCTTCCTAAGTGACTCTTTTGGAAATCGCAGATAGTAGAGTTCTAAAGCCAGAAATGGTGCCTTCATTTATACCAATTTGTGGTTAATGATAATGTTGGGGTGAGGGAAGAGGGGGAAGGAGAAAACCCTGTCATTAAATATAAATATCTGTAGCAGTGGCTAGAAATTGGTTTCAGCTCTTTGTTCAGGGCAGACAGTATTATTCATTCCTATCCCAGTGTGCCAGTTTCTTTTCAGAGAATTTGAATGGAAAGTAAGTCATCTAAATACTGTTTTGGAGGAGTCATCTACCATCCCCCTGTCCCTAGTCAGACTTTTATCTAAACTAGGAGTTCTTAACCTTTTTTCATGTGTGTGACATGGACCCATTTGATAGTCTGGTGAAGCATATGATGTTTTTGAGTGCATAGGATAAAATAAATAGAATTCTAAAGGAAGCCAAATATAGTGAAATATGATAATAAATTTTTTTGGGGGGGCTAGGCAATTTGTTTTTTTGCCCAGGGTCACACAGCTAGTAAGTGTCTGAGGCTAGATTTGAACTCAGGTTCTCCTGACTCTAGGGCCAGTACTCTATCTACCATGCTACCTAGCTGCTCCCTGTCAAATTTTTTTTTTGAAGTTCACAGATCTCAGGTTAGGATCCCTGCACTAAGCCATCCCAGATAGACATTAGTTTCTCCAGTTTAATCCAATAGTTGAACAATTTAACACTCTCCAGTGTTCTCCCAGGAAAGGAAGTCTCCAACTTCTCATGTTAACAAGCCCACTTCTTTGATAGGAAAAAGTTCCCATTTATCTATAGTTTTTCTTTCAATGAGACTGGAATTAGCAATGCCAAGGGAGAGTAGCAATAGGATTTACTGATTGGTTAATATAGCAATAATTGGCATTTAAGTAGATTATCGCATTTGAGCTTCATGGAAACACTGGGGAGTGTTGTTATTCTTCTTTTATAAATGAGGATGCCAAAGCTAAGACTGGCCTATGCTCATAGAGCTAGTAAGTATCAAAGATAGGATTGGAATTCAGATTTTCCTGACTCCGAGTCCAGTGGTCTAGCCACTATGATATGCTGCCTTGAAAATTCTAGTAAAGTACCCATGAAATGCCTCGAATCCCTCACTTTCAAAAGAAAACTCTATTCCTTTTAAATTTAACAGGGAAGAAAACATTCAACTTACTTAACAAACCTCTTAGTGGATTCTTTCAACACATGTACATTAACCCAGACTGAGTCTGCCTGTGGGGAGTAGACAGAGCAAGGAACGATCCCCATTTAGGTGACGATCAGGAGGACTGAACTCATAGATCTCCCAAGAAAATGAGGATCAGCATGTGTTGTGAGTCTTATTATTCATAGCATCTCATGCCCCCTTAATGCTATCCTGAGCAGAACTAAAGAAGTTATGGATGTAAAAGACCTACTAGACACATCTTCTCTGTTGCCTAGGAAGCTGGCAGGGACGTTTTATAATACATTTCTGTGGGCTTTCCATTACATTTCCTGGGAAACTATTTCTCATTTTAATAGTCCTCAAAATTAGGAAAATCTTCTTCATCCATTAGTGGTACTTCTTTGAACCACTAATTTCTATTTTGCCCTCAATCTGTCCCCTTCTCTCACCAACAGACATATGTCTATGCTGAGAAATTTGGTTGCGTCACTCCCTCCCCTACATGTTAAAACAAGGAAAAATCTCTTTCCTTCAGTGTGTTGGGTAGAAAATTCAGAAGAATTCTTTTTTTCCTCTTATACACTTGACAGATGTGCCAGGTTGAAAAGGTCCCCTTGCCCCCTCAATATCTTTTGAGCAGTCAGCCTGTGCAGGAAAATCTGAGAATGATGTGTGGAATCTTTGGGGCTGTAATTAGCAAGGACATCATGTTGCAGCTGAGGATGACAAGTAACACTAGGGGCTAATGCTAGGGTTTCTGGGGGTTCTCATCTTCCAGTCTCCAAAAACAAACATTGTAAGGGAAGGTTTTGGGCAGCCCTGCTGTGGTTTATGGCAAGAGTTTGTGGGCTATTTTGCATTGATTCAAACCTCTTTTAGAAAGCCATCTGTAGTTGATTTGTGCCTCAGAAGATTAGTGAGATGAAAAGGACAAGGAAAGAGGAGTTAACTTTTACAGCTTAGTTTTTGACCAGAAAGGGGGAGTTTTTGACAGTGGCACGCAGTAGGTGCTTACTTGATGGCAATGAACGAATGATTTGCAAATGACTCCTGAATCTCTGTATCTGGCCCTAGTCTGTCTTATAAGTTCTACTTCTCTATTTAGTGGATATTTTTAAATGGATGTCCCCAAAATATCGCAAACTCAACCTTTCCAAAACAGAACTTATTATTTCCTCTCCCTTCTCCAACCCTCTAATCCCTCTGCTTCTTATCTTTCTTGTCACTGTTGAGAGTACCACCATCCTCCCATTTTCCCAGGATTGTAACCTCAATGTCATCCTTAACTCTAATCCAAATAGTTGTCAAATCTTGTTGTATCTAGCTCCATGACATCTCTCATATATATCTCTTCCTCTCTGCTCAGACAACCAACATCCTAGCTCAGCCTTTATCACTTCTTGCTTGGACTGTGGACATAGACCTCTAACTTTTTTCTCTGTCTGAAGTCTCTCCCCACTCTAATCTATCCCCCATGCAGCTGCCAAAGTGATCTTTCTAAAGTACAAATGTGACTATGCCACCCTCTCCTCAATAAATAAACTCCACTGCTTCCTTACGACCTCTGGAATCAACTATAAACCCCTCTTTTTTGGAATTTAAAGCTCTTTATATCCTGACCCCTTCTTATTTTAATTGTCTTCTTACATATTACTCCCATCTGTGCACACAACAGTTTCTCATAAACAACACTCATCTCCATCTCCATGCATTGGCTATCCTCTGTGTCTGGGATGCACCTTCTCCTTGCCTCTGCTTCTCAGAATCCGTGGTTTCCTTCAATTCAGCTCAAGCACAATTTATGACAGAAGCCCTTTCCTCTCCCCCCTCTGCACCTTGGTTGCTAGTACCTTCTCCTCTATGGTTACCTTGTCTCTACTTTGTGTGGATCTTGTATATACCTATATGTACATGTTGTTTTTCCCATTAGAACATAAGCTCCTTGAGGGTAGACAATATTTTTCTTTTTCTTTGTATCTGTAGCAATTAGCACAGTGCATTACACATAATAAGTGCTTAATAAATGCTTGTGCATTTATTTATTAATTAATTCACACTCTCCAAAATTCCCCAGGCATTCCAAGTTAGTTACAGAATTCTGCTCCTAAGAGGATGGTGTGTTAATTGGTAATTGGTAAAGAATCAGATTGACTTTTCAATGTTGTTGCTAGGTTAGTACAAGAATAGAGTTTAAAATGTAGTTGTTCATTTTAAAGGCGTCTAAGTTACATGTCAATGTAATCCGGTTCTGATCCATTTCAACTTGGTAGGAACTTAGAGTTATAGCAAAACAGAATGGGGAAATAGTTTGTAGTACTCAGAGGAAATGAGTTGTGAACTTCCAACTACTGCTTGAGGTTAAGGGTCTATGTCATCAGTCTCCCAGGGCAGTAGGTCCCATGATAGCAGTGGAAGCAGGGCAGCTAATATCTGGGCTCAACGTCCTGCTCTGGGAAGCTACCAGGGGATGGTGGACCAATGTGTTGTGTCATTTCCATGGAAATTCTTGAAATCCATGAATGAGGACTGGGGGGAGGTGCCAGAAGACCTAGGTTTGAGTCCTAATGTTGCCGCTTACTGGCTGTGTGATTGTGGGCAAATCAATTGACTTTTCTGGTCCTCAGTTTCCTCATCTGTAAAATGTGTGGTGGGGCTGGACACAGTGGCCTCTAACTCTGCCACTCTATGGTCCTGTGACTCTTTTTTTATTTTCTTTTCTGGATACAGGCCTCTGGGAAGAATCCATTCTTCTCGGCTCCAAGGAAGCCCATGATGGGTTTCTACCATATCTTTTATTTCCCTTTGGGGCTCCTGCTCTGGTCCATATTACAGACAGCATCAGCTCCAGCAACTCCTGACCCTGTCATTTGCAGCAATCAAGAGAAGCAGGTTATGTTTAGCCACACCTACAAGATTGATGTACCGAAGTCCTCCCTGATCCAGGTGGAGGCTGATCCTGAACCACTCCGAGATGATGGGGGAATGCTGCTCCTCCCTGGGGAGGCTGGTGAAGAACAGAATATCATCTTCCGGCACAATATCCGCCTTCAGACCCCAAAGGGAGACTGCGAATTGTCAGGCAGCCTCCAGGACCTGTTGGCCCGGGTGAAGAAGCTGGAGGAAGAGATGGCAGAGATGAAAGAGAAGTGTGGTACCCAGCAGTGCTGCCAGGGAGCCCCAGGTGAATGCATGTCTTTTCTGATGGATGGTCCCAGTGTGAGCCATGGTCCATGATGCCTGTGGCATTCCTAGTCCTTGCTCTTGCATCCTCATGGTGCCATTGTCCTGTGCATAGACAGGAGCTTCATGGGTAACAGCTCCTGGTGAGGGACAGGTTCCAGAGCTCTGGAATTGCCCTGAAGCTTCTTAAGGATTTCAGTCAGGAATTATCCAGCTACATATTTAGTTCATGACCTTCCTATCAGGAGGTCTCATTTGTTCTCTGGAATCGTGGTGGATTGTTTTTTAAGCTTTTAAGTCTGTCTAAGTGCTTCCCTTTTAGGATATGGCCAAGTGGGAATTTGTTTTGCTTAACTGTATTACAAAGAGTTTTCTTGAAGCAAACGGAAGATGGGGAGGAGAGAAAATAAATGTTTGTTAATTGAAAAAAATCCAATTTAGTAACTATATATATAAAAAAGAATTCCCCAACTGGTCATATGTGACATAGGGGACAAAGGGCCAGACTTGGAGTTAGGAAGATCTGCATTTAAAACTTGGCTCAGATACTTACTAGACATATGACCTTGGGCAAAATTTTTAACCTTTCTCAGCCTCAGTTTCCTCATCTATAAATGGGGATAATAATTACACCTGTCTCGCAGGGTTGTTGTGAGAATCAAATGAGATACAGAATGTAAAGCACTTTTCAAATCTTAAGGGGCTACATAAATGTTTGCTATTATCATTCCCTACAAATCCAGTCTTAGCCCCAAGGAAGATGTTAACAGCCTGAATTACAAACAGTAATAGAGTTCTATTTTTTAATTAAAAACACAAAGAAGCCCCAAATGTTGACTCAGATATTATATGCCGTTTTGCATATTATTTTACTTAAAATGTAAATGCTGTTTATTTTGTTCAGATAAAGCTTGCATAGAAGTCTCTTAGAGCTGGAAGAGATCATAATATACCTCACCCTGTTTGCTTCAGTTCCTCAACTGTAAAACAAGCTGGGGAAGGATATGGCAAACCACTCCAGTATATCTGCTAAGAAAACCCCAAATGGGGTCATGGAGAGTTGGATACGAATGAAAGGACACAATAACAATAATAACAACAACAACATCGTCCTCATTTTCAAAAATGAGGAAACAAAGCTGGACAGGTGAAACAGCTGACCCAAGGTTACAGCAGGGCCCAAATTCAAACCCAAGTTTTCTGACTCCAGCCCAGTACTCCTTCTATTGGGCCACACTGCCTTTTCTCCAATGGGCTTGTTGTTTTCTCTATAATGTCCTATGGCCTTCCTCCTCCAAATTTGTCCAGTTATTAACCCTTTCCCCTGGGGCTCCCTCATCCTTAGCTTCTTTATTTACAATGCTAGCCGCCACCCTGTGAAGTCAATTTGGTTGGGATTCTACTTAGAGTTAAGACAGAGGACTGGACAGAGGCAACTTGGTGGGAGGGCAAAGTAAGTGTGGGGAAAAAGTATGAATAAAAAGTGATACTTCAGGGGCAACCATATCTCTGAGAAGGTAAAGTAAGTCAGAGACCCTTTCCCAGCAAATTAATATGAGTGAGGTGATGTGGGTGGGGATAGTCTATTTTTGGTGGATTACTCAGTACTTAGGCTATTTCTGAGTTCTCATGTTTCTGAAGGAGCTAGGCTTCCTTCCCTCTCTCATCCAATCCCTCCCCCACCCCATCACCACCTCAGCTGAGATCTGCTCCCTAGTTTTCTGATCTTTCTTCAGGGTCCTAAAGTGTAGGTACTTTCCTGGAGGCCCAGACTCAGAGAACAGGGATTTCTTGGTAACTGAGGCAGGAAGTCTCTTTCTTTTAGTTCCAAGCTCTGGGTTTTAATGATGAGAGATGCCATATCTAGGTCATTTGGTCCCACAGTTGACTGGCTGCCTATCACTGTGCTCCACACTATTGTGGTCTATCTTTTTTCACTTGGGGCCCAATTAGATTCCTGTCTGACTGAAAGTTAACAAAACCCACCTTGATTATTTAAGAGGTGGAAAGAGAGGTACAATAGCATCCCTAATATAACGCACATGGAGTCATAGTACATGGGGTACAGATCTTCCAAAAGGAAGGGAAGATGGGCGTAGTCCACTTTGGAAACTCATTGTAGGAAGAAAGGGAGACAATATAGGAAGCAGGAGAGGACATGAGAGAACAGGAAGTCACGGAGGTCTTGACCATCTGCAATATGGAGGCAAGGATAGGGGCATACAGTTAGAGATTCAAGACCTTGTTTCCACGGTCAATCTGCCCATCACTTACCTCTAAGTATAGACACAGTGAAAACTGACATCTGTGGGGAAAAAAAAACCCAGTATCTGCTTAATCCCCCCAAAGATATGTTTATCCCTGGATAACCATGCGATTTAGAATAGAAAGGGACCTTTGGGTTCATCTTAGTCCATTATTCTCATTTTATACATGAGAAAACCAAGGCTCAGAAAAGGAAAGAAACTTTCCCATGGACACCGAGGTAGTAGGCAGCAGAGTTAGATTTTGAATCCAGATCTTCTGTCTCCAGAGCCAAGGTTCTTTATACTCTATTACACAGCCATCTGACTGTTTTGAACCATCTTCTAGTTGGTCAGAACCACCATCCTTGAATTTTATTTGGCCTTAATTCAGAGAACAAGACTCTAGCCTTGAATAACCTAGCTTTATATAACAAGGAAAAGCAGGATTCCTTGGTTCACAAACCAGGAGACCTGAAATCTAATTAAACCTTCAGTCATGGGTCTTTCTGTGATTAAGTTCTTCTTTGTATTATTCTATTAGGTCTAGTAATCTAACATCTTTCAAAGCAGCTAAAAAACTGTCCCTTTTGCAACAGGTAGAAAATAAGAAAGCCTAGAGTAGGAATAAGAAAATTATCAGATCCTGATCTTGTCACTGCCACAGCTGTGTGACCATGGACTCTATTTGATCTTTTGGATGGTCAGGTCTCTCATCGAAAAAAAATTAGGATAACAACACTGCTAGCATGTTGTATGGATCAGATGAGCTGATGTATAAGAAAGCACTTTGAAAACTTTAAATGAGGGCCATGCAAATATAAGGTATGAGGATTAGCCCTGTGGTTTCTTTGGAATAGCGATCTCCCAGATGAGGAAACTCCCTGCCTTTCAGTGCAGCTCAGCACCTCCTCTTGAATAGATCACCTTAGAGAGTTATTAGAGCATTGACAAATTCAATTGCTTGCTCAGGGTCACAGAGCCAGCATATGTCAGAGGTGGAACTCCAACCCAGGGATTCGTCATTCCAAGGTCAGCTCTCTATCCCTTGGATCATACTGCCTCTCATGAATGTGAGTTATTATTATTATTATTATTACTATGTATTATGGATTTACCATAAGAGGCAACCATTTTGTAATGGATAGAGAACTGACCTTGGAGTTACAATTCTCTATTACTATATGTCGTAGGGTAGATGTCGGCCTATATTGGCACCATGAGTTTCCTCACTGGGATTTCTCCAAACCAACAAAATCACAGGTCTGGGCCCCTGTTCTCACTCCCTCCCCTACTAAAAAGAAAAAAAAAGAAAATCATAGAGAAGGAAAGCATCAGGAGAATTCATATAATTGTTATTTGGAATGAGAAAAAATGGGGAAATGAGGTGGTTTGTCTAATCTTATGTTGGAGAACTGAAGAAATGGACTGGGTGATGGGTTTTGGGGGAGTCTGAAATAGGTTGGTTTCAGGCCTTGCTTCATCACACTCAATTAGTTGAGTCTAGCACCCACCTCTGGCTACAAAGCATATCTGAATTAATATCTATAGATAGAAGAGATGAATGTTATTTCTCTAAGATTTCTAGGGAAGAAGATTCTCAGGTCTCCCTTGGTGTTTCCAAATCATCATTATTTGTTTTTCCTTTTCCATATCTCCCTGCTCCCCCCTCCACTTCTTCTTTCTTTGTTCCTTGCTACCTGATACTTTTCTGCTCAGGCCTCAGCAACCTTTGCAGTGGGCACGGAATTTTCACCCAAGACACTTGTGGGTGCAGATGTGATGAAGGCTGGGAAGGCCCTGACTGCTCCCTCCCCAGCTGTCCTGGGGGGTGCAGCGGCCATGGGCGCTGTGTGGATGGCCGATGCATTTGTGATGAGCCCTACATTGGTGAGGACTGTGGCTACCTGCCCTGCCCTGAGAACTGCAGTGGGAACGGAGTCTGTGTGAGGGGCGTTTGCCATTGCCATGAGGATTTCACATCGGAGGACTGCAGTGAGAAGAGGTGTCCCAATGACTGCAGTGGCCATGGCTTCTGTGACACAGGAGAGTGTTACTGTGAGGAGGGCTTCACTGGCCTGGACTGCTCCCAGGGTAAGAAGCATCTCTTCCTAGGCTATTCCTATTCCAACTTTTCCTCTCTTCTTCCCTCCTTCTCTACTTCCCTCTTTTCTCCCTCCCTTCCTCCTCCCCTCCCTCTCTGCCTTTCTCCCTCTTTCTCTTCCTTCCTTCCTTCCTTCCTTCCTTCCTTCCTTCCTTCCTTCCTTCTTTCCTCCTTCCTTCCTTCCTTCCTTCCTTCCTTCCTTCCTTCCTTCCTTCCTTCCTTCCTTCCTTCCTTCCTTCCTTCCTTCCTTCCTTCCTTCCTTCCTTCCTTCCTTCCTTCCTTCCTTCCTTCCTTCCTTCCTTCCTTCCTTCCTTCCTTCTTTCCTTCCTTCCTTCCTTCCTTCCTTCCTTCTTTCCTTCCTTCCTTCCTTCCTTCCTTCCTTCCTTCTTTCCTTCCTTCCTTCCTTCCTTCCTTCCTTCCTTCCTTCCTTCCTTCCTTCCTCCCTCCCTCCCTCCTCCCTCCTCCCTCTCTCCCTCCCTCTTTCCTTCCTTCTTTCCTTCCTTCCTTCCTTTCTTCTTTTCTTCCTTCCTTCCTCCCTCCCTCCCTCCTCCCTCCCTTCTCCCTCCCTCTCCAGTTTGTCAATGTTCTTCTTAAAATGTGGTACCTAAAACTGTACATAATACTCTAGATGTGGTCTGACCATGGCAAAGTACCCTGGGACTATCATATCCCTTGTTTTCAGACATCACTTGCCTTCCTCGATCACCTTCCTGGGTTATCCCCTAGCCTCCAGGAAAGGACTGGGGACTTGAGAGCAGCTTAATAAATCCATACTGATGGATTCCTCTGTCTCTCCACACTCCTTTTGTTTCTAGTTCCTGCTCCTCAGAGTCTGCAGCTACTCAAAAGCACTGAGGACTCTCTGCTGGTGCACTGGGATCCAGAAGTGGATGTAGACCATTACCTGCTCAGCTACTATCCCCTGGGGGTGGATACTTCAATGAAGCAGGTTAAGGTCCCCAAAGATCAGCTGAGTTATGAGATTCACAACCTGCAGCCCAGCACCAAGTACATTATCAACTTACGCAATGTGAAAAAGGGGATTTCCAGTAACCCACAGCATCTGCTGGCCTCTACAGGTAAGGGACATAGAGATGACAGGCCATGAGAAGACTCTCACTCTGCCCTCTATGGCCAAACCAGATGAAAAATCATCCAAACCGTATCTTTGTATCTGTTAGCAGCTGATAAAGTAAGTGCTAGATAGATAGACAGACAGACAGACAGATAAGACATTTATTAATCACTCACTACATGTCAGGCAATGATCAATTATCCTTAGATCAATAGAGATTTTACTATCTGGCTCCCACGTTTAGGCAGCTGAGTGTTCTGACCTGTGCCTAAATGCCAACGTAGTTCTACAACAGGGGTTCTTAACTTGGGATCCATAAAAGGTATTTTGATAAATGTGTTTCAAGATAATTCCTTTCCTTTGTATTCTGTATCTTATTTTACGCATTTGGAAACATTATTCTGAGAAGGGTACATAGGTTTCACCAGAATGCCAGAGTGATCCTTGACAGCCTCTGGGACCAACTTGTGAGGTTTTGAATTGGGTAAGCCTTGGAAAGCCTGTAGCATCTTAATGTTGGAAGGGCAAGGGGGGTGTCATTTGTTCCCTACAACTTACCAGCTTCCCACACCCAATGAAACTTCTTGGAGTAACTTGAGATCCCCAAGGGATCCTGGAACACCAGACTCTAGATCCTATGCCCTCAACTTCTTGAGTGGTTGTGGCCTTCTTGGGTCCACCTCAGTTGTGGTTTGGTACTGAAGGGCCCAAGCAGCTCCTGAGTCACACCTAGATTTGAGGTCAAAGTTGAGCCACCCCATGCATAACTGTTAGGCAGAAGACTTAAGTGCTGCCTAACCTGACTTACTTCAAGGATCTGTGAAGGCAATCAAGGTGGGCATGACCACAGGGGCCAACCGTTACTGGCCTTGGTAGATAATCTTCATGAGTTGTTGAGACTGAAAAATTCATCATCTGGTCACCAGCCTTCTCCAAACTTACTTGGGCTGGTCCTCAGATACCAGGCATAGTCCATTGCTAGGCCAAAGCCCAAAGCCTGTCCAGTTTGGTAAGACTTGCCAGAACTTATGCCTTGCTGGAAGAGCTCTACAGGGTCATTGTCTTGTTGCGTGACTCAATGAGGCATCCTAGCATGAATCTTACCTTGGGAGAAAAAGGAAAAATAAGCGTGGAGTGACTTGGCAACCCCTGGTGTGGAATTTGTTCTTCCCTGTTACTATAAACTCTTAACAAGGAAGAGGAGATTCAAGTGACTCATCTTTCTAGGTGACAATCATTTGATTGATAAGCATTTATTAAGCACCTACTGTGTGATAAGCACTGTGGTGGGTGCTGAGAATACAAAAGAAAAAGATGAAATAGTTCCTGCCCTCAAGGAGTTTATATTCTATTGGGGAGACATATATATGTACATATATATATATATATATATATGTACATATATATATATGTACATATATATATATATATGTACATATATATATGTACATATATATATATTTGTATATATACACATTTATACATATATGTATATACACAGCATATGCATACACACATATATACACATATAAATGCACATATATATATATATATATATGTATTATATGTATATGAAAAATACAAAGGAAAGAGTACTAGTGGTTGGAAAGACCAGAAAAACCTCATGTTGAACCAAGTCCTGAAGGAAACTGGGGATTCCAAGAAGCAGAGGAGAGGAAGGACTGTGTTGCTGGCATAGGGGACAGCTTGTAGAGAGGCAAGGAGATAGGAAGTGGGATTTCATTTTGAGAGGAACAGCAAAAAATTCCAGTTAGATTGTAGAATACTCGAAAGGAGAGCAATTTCCAATAAACAAGACTTGGAAAGGTAGATTAGAGCCAAGTTCTAAAGGACTTGAACAATATAGTTCATTCTATCATGGAAAGAACACAGACTGTGCAGTCAGAGGATCTGGGTTAGATCCTGCCTCTTATACTTAATTCCTTGTGTGACCTTAGGTAAATCATTCAACCTCAGTTTCTTCTTCATCTGTAAGTTGAGGGGGTTGGACTATATGACTTCTGAGTGACCTTCCTATTCTAAATATCATTTTCTGGTTATGTGGGAATGGATTGAAGAGGGAGAGCCTTGAGGAAGGCAGCTCAAATTGGAGGCTCATTCAATATTATTTATAACAATAATAATAGCTAGCATTTATATGGTGCTTAAAGCTCTTTCCATACATTAACGCATATGATTCTTGCAACAACCTTGTGAGGTAGGTGTTATTATTATACCATTTTACAGATGAGGAAACTGAGGGTGAGAAAGGCTAGTCACTTAACCTGGAAGTAAGTCAAGATGAAGGGAGAAGGCTATTATTACGGCCCCCTCTTCAAATAGCTGGAACATAACAAAGTGTTCGTTTAAGAATGATTAAACAGCATCTTAAAACTGTCTGGTTGCTATCCTTGGTTTCAGTCAGAGTAGGTGGCACTTCGACCATTTTAGACTAATGAGTAACAATCTGTTTCTCAAAGATCTTAAGAGGAAGAAGGTTTAAGTAATCTCCCTTGCTCCAAAAACTCATAAAATTCCCTAACCATGAAATTTGTCTTTATGTCTCTCCTGATTCAAGCTAAGCCCATTTTCTCTGGTTTTGTCCTCAGGGAGAACTTGGCCTGGGAGTCACTTTTTCTAAAATGTTTTTGAATATAATTATTAAGTTTCTGCTATCCTGTTTGAAAAATCATCCCAATTTCTTCAAACTTATCCTTCTTTCATAACCTTTTTCATTAGTCTTCCCTGGAATCATCTCAAGTTTTTTCCTCCTTAGGTCAAATCTCTAAGGAAAACTTTTTATATAAAAATTATTTGTATTTTTTGTTTTTATATCACCTTAATTTCTAATACATCCTTCCCTCTACCTTGACTTGGTGAACCATCTTATGTAATAAACAACAACAAAAAAAGAGGAAAAAACCAGTTCTTTAAAAATTACTAATTCTAACAGTATATGTCATGTTCTAAACCCATACTTTCCTACCTCTGTGAAGAAGGGAAGAGGTTATATTTTCTTATCATTTCTTCTGCATTTTTTTTTTGGTTAGGCAGTGGGATTAAGTGACTTGCCCAGGGTCACACAGCTAGTAAATGTTATGTGTCTGAAGCTGGATTTGAACTCAGGTCCTCCCGAATCCAGGGCTGGTGCTGTATCTACTGTGCCACCTAGCTGCCCCTTCTTCTGCGTTGTTAAATCTCTTTCTTCCCTCTCCATCACTCCCACCTTCAATCAATTGCCAAGTCTTGCATATATGGCATCTATCTCTTTCTCTCCACTTTCTCAGCTGCCATCCATGCTCAAGCCTTCATTATCCCTAGTGCCCGCTATTGTAATAGCCTTCTAATTGCTCGTCAGCCTCCAGGGTCTCCTCCTTTCAAACCAGCCTATCAAAGTATTATTCCTAAAGCACGGTCCTGATGATGTCACTCTCCTATTCAAGAAGTTTTGACTTTGCACAGCCCTCCTTCACTTAAATCCAATTCATTTGCATGTCATGGCATCTCTTCCCTTGATGTCATGGTCCTTTTCGAGGACAAAGGACAAACAGCAGCAGCCTCTAGGATAAAATAAAAAGTCTTCTGTTTGGTTTTTGAAGCCCTTCATAATGTAAGCAGGCAGTATGTTACTGAGCATACCTTCAGTGTCCAGAAGACCTGGGTTCAAATCCTATCACTGACCCATATTATTTGTTATGACCATGATCAGAGAAGGTGCTAATCTACATTTGAAGAAGGAGTGTCCTCATTGCAAATTAGCTACAGCAGCGATTCTCAAACTTTTTGGACTTAGGGCTCCTTTGCATTCTTAAAAGCTGTTGAGGACCCGCCCCCCCCCCCAAGGAGTTTCTGTTTATGTGAATCATATCTATCGATTTCTACTAGATCTAATCAGATCAAAATCTAATTTGAAATTAAGACATCTTTGTATTATTATGAAAATAATTTTGACCTCAGCTGTCCTCTTGGTTGTGCTACATATAGGACATTCTATCTCTGGTTTCTCTGCTTTGGCAAAGGTTGGCCTCCATGGTTGTAACACACTCTTTCCTCATGTCTATTTTGTAGAATCCCTGGTTTCCTCCAAAGCTCAGCTCAAGCTCTATCTCTTACATAGGAAGCCCATCTCAATGCCCTAGTTGTTAGTGTTGCCCTTCCCTATGACTTTGTATATATTTTGTGTTTAATTTTCTATGTACATGTTGTTTTCTGCCTTGCACAATGTCTGGCACATAGCAAACACTTGGTAAATGCTTATTGACTGACTGACTGAATAAATGAATGAATGAATGAATGAATGAAGAAGGGAACTGGGGAAGGCTTGGGGACTTGTGTTAGAATTTAAAGAATTGACAGAAATTCAGCAGATGAAGAGGGGGAGGGAAAACATTTCAGGCATAAGTATCAGGGTAAGCAAAGGCAATTGGAGCAGGGAAGTAAGAGACATGTTTGGGGAGCGAAATGTAGTCTAGTTTGGGATATACAGTGCATGGAGAAAAGCAATATGACATAAGAATAGGAAGATAGGCTGGTGCAAGATTTGGAGAGTCTTGAATGCTAGGAAAATGAATTGGAACTTTACTCCTTAGATAATAGGGAACTACTGTGGAAATTTTGAGCAGAGGTATAATATGACTCCATTTATATAAACGAAAGATCATTATGGCAGTGGTATGAGGAATGGATTGGTGGGGAGGATGGATAATGAAGTGTGGAAGACTATTACAATAGTACAGGCAAGTGATAATGAGGACTTTTATAAGGCTAGTGGCAGCTGAGGAAGGGAGAAATTCAAGAGATGTGGAAGTGGAGTCTATAGGACTTGGCAACTGATTGGTGGTAGGTCCCTCCGCCTTGGTAACTTTTGAGCAGAGGCCAGCCAGCCTCTCACCAGGTGTGTTAAAGTAGAGATTCCTTTTGTGTATGGGTTGGATTAAATGGCTACTGAGGTCCCTCCCAACCCTTAAATTCTGCGATTCTGGAAATGACAGGTAAGGAGTGGTCAGGACTGCATATATGGACTTAACAGTCATGATACCATTGTAATGAGTTCAATAGACAAGGGAAAGGTTGCAGAGATTGAAGAGAAAAGGGCCAAGGACAGACCACTGGGACACATTCACATCAAAGGGCGGGGCAGAGAAAGAGTGATTACAAGAACCAGGAGAATGTGATATCTCTGCAATCAGAGGAGGGAACATGGAGCTAGAGAGGGGGATCAACAGTTTCCAAAGCTCTGGAGAAGGAAAGGAGAATAAGGATTAGAAAAATGCCATTGGTAATAATACTTTTGGTAATGATCATAAGATCATAGGATGATAGGATTTGAGAGCTGAAAGGGGACTTGGAGGTCATGTAGCCCAACCCCCTCACTTTACATGTAATACTGCTGCCCCCATTGCGTGAAGGCCAGGTAGGTTGCATTTCACAACTCCTCGTGGGCTGTCTGATGCCTTTAGAGGAAAAGGTTTTGGAGGGTGTCTATGGTCTCTGCAAATGGCTCCAGGCTCCGCTGGTGGTGTTCCCCCAAATATAAGGGGTGGGGTCCCTTGAATCCTGGTTCCATTTAGCAACCTAACTATCATACTAGCTTTTACAAAGAAATATTTACTTTAAAGGTGTAATCACAAATATACAGACTGCCTCTCCCATAGGCTCCTTCTGCCTTTATACCACTTCACTCTCTGGGGATGGGCATGGGATTAGATTCATAGTTTAGCTCTGTTCCTATAGGCACAATCCCAGTTCCAAATCCAAAACCTCCCTCTGGCTTGAGTCCCAGGTGCCCCGGCTTCACCAGGCTTCCCTGCCAGGCTAGCTGGCTGCACCATCCTGCCTATAGTCCTGGCCACCATGGCTTGGGCTCCCATGTCCAGTGGGATCACCACCGGCACCTGAAACTGAGAAAGACAAATGAAAGAGAACAGAAACAAACACCCCCTGACTCATTTCTTAAAGCCAGGATAGAAGAGAGGGAGAACAGGGGAAAGGAGCCCTTCCCTTCTTACAGATTTAATTCTTGACTCCTGGGCCTTGGGCAAGCTGTGACCTTCACTCTCTGGACACAGTAAGAAAGTGTGAGACGAAAAGAGATGGATCGTCTCAATCTTACTTGCTTTAAGATCACATCCTTTTCTGGGCTGTTCAGGCTCCATAACCCATCAAAGGAGGAGGGCCTCCATATTAGGGAATCTGCACAGACTCAGGCAAGACCCCTTAGAGATGCCCCTATGTTAGATGATCTGGGTATGCTCCAAAAGCCCCATTACATACAAATGAGAAAGCGGAGGCACAGAAAGATCGTTATTTGCCTAGTGACCTCTTGGAGATATTTACAATAGAGTGGTGGGGGCAGAAGCTAGGTTGCAAAAGTTTGGGAAATGGGTAGTGAGGAAGAGGGGTGTATGCAACTTTTTCAAGAAGTTTAGCAATAAAAGAGAAAAGAGATGGGATTATAGCTTCATGGAGTAGAAGATAAAGAGATGACTGTTCTAAGATTGTGGTGAGATGAGTGCATTTGTTAGAGGGATGGGAAGGAGCCAGTGGAAGAGAAATGAAAGACAATTCCTGGGGAATGTTTCTGGAGGAGGCTGTAGGGATGGTACAGGAAGAGAAAGGAGGAAGAGAGAATGGGGGATCATGATGAGAAATGCTTGGAAATATAGGGGTTGGGGTGCTGAGGGAGTTCGTGTGAAATTGCTTTAATCTTCTTGGTGAAGTAAGTAGAAGGCTAAATCATCTGTGTGCTAAATGTTGGGCTGTATTTGTGAGGGAAGGAAAATAATTGGTACAGCATCTGTGGGGCATGAAATGAGTCAATAAGGTTAGGACTGAAGGATGGTTGAGCCACAGTGAGAAGCCAATTGAAGCTGTATAGCGTGAGTTTATAGAGGGTGAAATCAGCTCAATTTTATGACTTTCTCTAGTGACATTCAGCATTCCTAGCAGAGGAGTGGGAAAATTTGATTATTCAGGCTAGCAAGGAATGGGGCAAGGGATTAAAGGTGAGAACGAGGGCAAAGAATGAATTTAATGTTTATGAGAGTGAGAGAATAGGAAGTTGTGGAATTTGAAATATTCTGAGTCTGGGAGACCGTCCAGTCCCAAGAGTGGCAAGATCTAAGATCTGACTCTGTACCTCTGCACAGACCCTTGTTAAACCTCCACATTAAAGGTTTAAGAAGCAGACAGGGAGTAAGGGATTCCTAGAGAAGGATTGTTGCATGCATCCTGTGTGCCTGGAGTACATTTATTCTTTTGTTGTTGTTGTTTTAATGGTGTCCAACTCTTTGTGATCCCATTTAGGATTTTCTTGGCAGAGATACTGGAGTGTTTTTTTACCATTTCCCTCTCCAGCTCATTTTACAGATGAGGAAACTGAGGCAATCAAAGTTGAGTGACTTGCCCAGGGTCACACAGCTAGTAAGTCTTTGAGGCTGGATTTGAACTCAGGAAGATGAATCTTCCTGACTCCAGGCCTGGCCCTGTGTGCACTATGGCACCCCCTAGCTGCCCCCTTTTTACCCTTTACCTCCTTGATTCTCTGAGCTGCTAGGGCTCATTATGTTTTGTTATGTTGTATGTATTTTATAAATACTTTCACATGCACATTTTCTCTCTCCTGATAGAATACAAGCTCCTTAGGGCAAATAGTATTTATTTTTATCTTTATGTTCCTGGAATCTAGTGCAGGGCCTACCATTCAGACTTAAAAAGTGCTCATTGGTTGGTTGATTATGGTGGCTGAAGTAGGGTGGAAGAGGACGATGGAACTGGAAAAGCTGAGGAAATGTGTGGTTGGGTTGCTTTAGAGGTAGTCAATAGGAAATGTCTTAGACTTCCCCAGGCTAATTCTGAAACTTCTTTATCAAGGTGTTTGGACCTCATGTCTTGTAGCTGGTTCTCTGAAAGCAGAGGCAGAGACAAGTATATAAACACAAGGAAATCTGGCCCCTGTGTTGAGGTACTGTGTATCAGCCCTTGTTCCTTGACTGTGGCTCTTGGAAGGCAGCTTGGCATACTGGGCTTGGAGAGAGCTGGGGCTTTCAAGGCAAATGTCTATTGGTGAAAGAAAAGGAATGGAGGTGAACAAGAAAGAGGAGAAGGTCTAACCCCAATTAACATGTGCATCTTTTTTTCCCCCTCTTTTTTCTTTTTTTTTTTCTTTCTTTTTGGTGAGGCAGTCGGGGTTAAGTGACCTGCCCAGGGTCACATAGCTAGTAAGTGTCAAGTATCTGGTAACATGTGCAACTTCCAGGTCTCTGTTGCAAGGTTGTCAGAGAGGTGGTATTCATTACTTCACACACAAAACTTGGGAGAAGGCTTGGGGGCTGGTGGGAGATCTGCTCACGTCTTTTCATCTTATTCCCTTTTAATTTGTTTTCTCCTTTCCTCTACTTCTACCCTAGACATGTCTGTGATTGGCACGGCTTGGGTGACTGATGAGACAGAGTACTCCTTGGATGTGGAATGGGAGAACCCCCCTGTGGAGGTGGATTATTACAAACTCAGATATGGCACCTTACAAGGGCAGGAGGTGGAGGAGGTCACTGTGCCCAAGAGCAATGATCCCAAGAGCAGATATGACATCACAGGTGAGAAAAATTTAAATTGCTGATGGAACTTTAACTCAGTGTGGGGTGTGATGTCCAGTGCAAAGGCTGAGGGAACTATGGGAGAAGAGAGAATCGGTGTTTCTCAGGCTGAGTCTACTTCTGGGAAGCCTACTTCTCGGTAACTCAGGCACCACACGGAGAGTACCAGGTACACTTGAAATCTCATCCCTGAGTTCCTTAGACATGATAAACTTCCTGACCAAGCTAGAACCTCTGGCTTTCAGATCTGGCCCCAATATTCTACTGATGACTACCTTCTCTCATATCTGCCTGCTTACAAGCTTTCAGTGGGGGATGTGGTCTGAGATGATCTAATCCTGGCTCTGGTGCTTACTTCTGAAAATGGATCTGATTGCTGGCAAGGATTCCTTTCTCATGAGTGTGTGTGTGTGTGTGTGTGTGTCCATGTATGCATATGTAATCTACTGAGTCTGACTTTCCATCCCAAGAATTATTGACAGTTGAGCTGCCCTAGTGGCTGAATAGCCATTGAAAGTCTTGGACTAAGAGGGAAAACCCTTTCAGAAGGAGAGTTTTTCAATTACTAGAAAGCCACTTGTGACCACAGATCAAGTCAGGAAGCAAGCGTTGGTCCCTACTGGCTTTCTTCCCCCAAATGGAGAAAATCTAATCAGCTTTATTCTGTCATCAAAGTGGCCTTACCCCTCTGACTGCACGGCTCCTGAATGGCAGGTCACTAAATAAAGGAAATCTTTGTGGACCAGTCCTGACTGCATTAGGATCAGCTCTTAGATGTGTGCTCTGAGGAGAAGCTTGGTATCATTTGCTACTGGTCCAAAGGAAACCTGGACAGCCTTTGGGACTTCTGGCCCAGGAGTTAGGAATGGTGCTACATTGAATGGAGCTGTTGTCAGTAATCCGTAATCCTGTTCCTTCTGGTTTCTTTCTAGGTTTGCAGCCTGGGACTGATTACAAGATCACTGTGATACCCATGAGAGGTGGGCTGGAAGGCAAACCAATTTCCCTGAGTGGCAAGACCGGTAAGTGCTCCTTGGGAAGTGTTCTCCAATTCTACCTTTCCTCATAATTGTTTCTTTTGGCTCTTTTCCCTTCCCTCTAGATAAAAACTTTAGGTCCTATGAGAAGTAGGGAAGAATTAGTTTATGGGAGACATTTTCGCTTGCTGGACAGACACCTATTTGGGAGGGAGGCGGACTTAGTTTTTTAGGGAAAAATTTCGTGGTCTTAGCAATCTCCTCAGTGCTGGAGGTCTTGGAGAAAAAGGTTATTTCTGATGGCTTGACTGCTTATCTGACCAGTTTTTGATCAGTTGATCATTTCCAAGACTTTTGCCACCATGTAACATTGGTTCGTTGTTGAATACTGCTTGCAAAAATTTGCTTGTTCCACACCAGTAATACCTTCATCAAGGATGGCCTGGATTTGGATATAGATGATAATCATCAATATTTCATATAGGTGGGAAAATAGGCATGTCAGTTGGTAGTTGTTTTCTCAGTCACCATTTTTTTGTTCTGAGATTTTTTTCCACCTGTGGCGTTGGTATCTTCCTTTTCTTCAGATAACTTTATATATCAATCCCTCAATGTCTTCGCAGTTGTGCTGCCTCCGTCAGATTTTCTGTACATACATTAGGCCTATCCCAGTGGGTTTCACCATTTTTGTTCTCTTTAGTGCCATTTCTATCTCTGTTATAGACACCTTTGAAACTGTGACGTTAGAATCCAAATGTGGTTACACTGTCCTTGATTGTGAAAAGTTTATTAGAGTTATCTCTACAGATGTTTTCCATTTTTCTTCTATTTTCTCCTCTGTCCATTTTAATGTCCCTGAGATTCCTTTGCTCTGTAGGATGTCTTGTGAAGTTTTCTTTAAGCTGGTTTTACCCTCCACTGCTTCTCTATGCTTTATATGCTTATCCACCTACAATTGACTCAGATTCCTTATACCAGAAACTGACAGCAGGGAGGAGAGAGAAATGTTGCTAGAAGAATGAAGACAACACTGCAAAAGCTATTAGCCTCCATCTTGTTTATCCATTAACCAAAGCATCAAAGTTGAGGAGAACTGCTCTAAACATTTCACGTCAACTGAAGTTAAGTGGGAAAATATGGAAAGCAGTGGGTCCTGGGCATGGAGGTTGTTACCATTACCATTGCCATCACTTTTATCATTGGTCATTTCCCACTCCCACGACTTCATTCAAGGCTCCTAATAATTTGGTCCCACCATGCCTTTCCACACTTAACTCCCATTGTTTCCCAATATAGTCGGGCTGGTCTTTTCACTATCCTTTCTTGACTTGTCCATTCTTGACTCTATTTTTCCTCAAATTGTTCCTCTGGCCTAGAAAAGCTTTCTTATCCCGATGCTATCTATCCTACAAAGCCTCCCTCACATTTTGTTTACTTTATGAAGCTGCTCTAGCCCACAGTGATCAGAATTCTCCGGACATTAATGCCACATTGTCTTTTGTTGTTACTTCACTTTTCAAGTCCTGTTTTTGCGATGAAACTGTAAACTCCTCAAGCTGAGGGTCCATGTCTTATTCATCTTTGTGCTCCCTATATTGCCCAGTGAAGGGCCTACCTTGACTATTGCTTCACTAGTATTTGTTCAATTGACTTTTTATTGAATCATGGAGCTGAAAGAAGCTAGATCTCAAAAGCATGGCAAAAATAATTGGATTTAAAACAAACCAGGATTACATTTTTCATCTGCGCAATTAAAAAAAGATGAAAGTGGATTTAAGAAGAAAGCCACAAATTTAGTAGGATCATTAATTAATACTAATCCAATTCATTTTTCTTAATATGAAAAGTCAGTTTTGTGCAAACTTTTGTCTTCAGACTAGGAAGTAAAAATACTTGGAATTCAAGAGTAGCACATGTAAGAATGAGAGAGCAAATGGCACAGTTCAGGTATTTTTCTGTTTGAATTATTAGTTAAAGCAGGAGTATGAAAGGGAAGGGTTTGATCATTAGAAGACAATTTAGCATCTGTTGGTAGAAAAATGAGACCAACACTCAGAACCAGGCAAGTGCTTAAAGCAGCGAGTAGAAATACAGGCCAATATTCTGGTTGGTGAAATTTCTTCCTCAGAGCCTCAGAGACAATCAATTTTTAATAATTGATACAATTTCTATGGCTTTTTTCTTGAGAACTCACATATAGGCTGTTCACATTCATATGATCTCTGACTAAAACCTCCCAAAAAACCATCACCAACTGCTCAAAAAAGCTACCATTTTGAGTTCCTCAGAGCTGAAATATGATGGGAAAAAAAAATCAGTCCAAGACCACATTTTTTTTCTTTTTAAACTTTTGGAATCTTTAAACATTTTCTTAGGGAGATACAATGATGTCATAGCTCCCCACTGCCAAATGAGAAGCTATAATTCTATCTTAATCTCCAATACATGCCAGAGATACCACTTTGGTTCTCACAAGCCTGCCCTGGCTCCATCAGCAACTCTGGCTTTGGATAGACTTTAGAATACTTCAATCTGACCATATCGGCTCAGATTCAATTTCAGGCAGATAATCCTTCTAGAGTACCTTAATTCATAGTACCTAAAACATATGCCTGAGTTTTCTGATAACTTAGTATAAGGAAGGATAGGAATTAATGCATGTGAATTAATTCACTGATGTGAGTTAATGAACCCCTTGTCCCAATGACCTACCTGCGTTATATCAGGATTTCAAATCTTTGTCATTTCTTACACTTTCATGTAGGGAAGGAGGATGATAATGGCCTCGACATTAAATCTGTCCTATTCTAACATAAAAATGGGCCCTATTTCCTTATTTGAATGAGTCTGTGATTAGATGACATAATTTTTTCTTCATGGCCTTCTAGAGAGTCATCGATTAAAATGTACTCTTATCCTTGACCCTTTCCTGCTATTTAAGTAGGATACACCTTACACTAGAATGCCTCTAATTGAACAGACAGAGATGTAGTTAACCTTTGCTTCTTATGTGTGACCTCTGTAGGTCAGGGATTGACAACTTCTCAGAGATACTTACAAGCTTCTATTTATTCACTGAAAAGGTCTAAGGAGTGTCTTTTAAAAGGGCTCTCTTTTATAGTCTAAACATTTCAGAGAAGACATTATACTTTAAGCCTTATTAGTTAATATCTTAATTACTACTTAAGACCTCAGAAAGGTTTAGTTCAAGTAATTTAAATCAAGGAAGAATATAGGATAGATACCTAAGAGGTTAAGTGGTGACTTGGAGGGAAGTCTTATTTAGAACCTGCCTTAGCTGTCTCCTATGGCCTCCTTTGACGCTATGCGCTTATATAGGTTGCCAAACCTTGGTTTAGACTGAAGTAAAGCTAGTAAATGTATGAGGTCAAATTTGAACTCAGGTCTTCCTGACTACATTTCCAGGTTGAAGGAACTGAGACTATTTAGTGCAGAGAAACGAAAACTTGACTATGTGAAAGAAGGTAGAAGGAATAGGAGAAGGGGGGGCATGATAGCAGCTTTCAATTATCTTGAGGACTGTTATATGGAAGAGGAATTCAACTTGTTTTGCTTGGCCTCAGATAGCAAAACTAGTGGCAAGAGGTGGAGAAATTCTATGTTGGCAGGTTTAGGTTACACATAAGAGTGCCACCTTATTACCTTTCGTGTGACCCTTGGAGTATTGCAGTAGGGGCAGCAGTCCAAAATGGCACTCATGCTGTTTTTTTAAGTCTATAGGAAGACAGTGTGAATATTTTAATTATCTAGCAAGAGAGTGGAATAGGTGAGTTGTGTTACCAGGTGGTATTCACCTCAAGCTACCCACAGATAAAGTAGTAGATAGGAGCCACATCAGCAGAAGTCGTGGTTCCCAGCTCTTGATTGTATAAGCTAACCCTCCCAAAACAATGCAGCATCTCCTTTGAAAAATCAGGGCACACACCTTGCAAAGGCCTAGACTGCTCCCCTCACCACCCCTATCCTAGAAGTTAAGTTTCAGAATTTAGTCAGGGGTGATATGGAATATTGCTCAAAACATTTAAGAAGTATGAAATTTATGGCTTTAGAGTCCCCAGTCTAAACCTGGACAGCTGGTGGTGCAGTGGGTAGAACACCGGGCATAGAGTCAGGAAGACTCATCTCCCTGAGTTCAAATCTGGCCTCAGACACTTATCAGCTGTGTGACCCTAGACAAGTCATGTCACCCCATTTGCTTCAGTTTCCTCATCTGTAAAATGAGCTGGAGAAGGATGTATCTCTACCAAGAAATCCCCCAGGGTCACAAAGAGTGAGACACAATTGAAATGACCGAACAACAACGCTCTAAACTTGAACTCTCCTGTCTGTGGTTACAACTGCCTCCATTCCCAGGACTCAGATACCCAACAGCTTTTGACCACATATTATTAAACACAGAGAAAACAAAAGAAAAAGGTTGCATTCCCACCTGGAGCTGTCTGCCTCTGGTCATCTCCCAAAACCTTCTCCTTTGTGCCCTCCCAATATGTCAGGTGTGGCTGAAGAGTCTGAACCACATGAGCCTATAAATCATGGGAAGGGGAAGGTGTGTGTACAGAACCCCAGTGCCTGATGTTATACCAAGGGAATGCAGGGAAAGAATGTTAAGAGAGAAAACAGCTTTTTCTCCCTGCTATGTTCACCAAACAACAGACTTCTCAGCAATAGGCATACAGAGAACATTTCATTGGGGTGAGCACCCAGGGAATTTATTTATTTATTTTTAAATGGATTTGACATTTTTTTTTGAGGCAATCGAGGTTAAGTGACTTGCCCAGGTCACATAGCTAGTAAGTGTCAAGTGTCTGAGGCCAGATTTGAACTCAGGTCCTCCTGACTCCAAGACCGGGGCTCTATTCATTGTGCTACCTACCTGCCCCAGGGAATTTTATAATTGAATACTCAATTATTAAGGACATTATTTTTTACTCAACAAACTATGATTTAACTAAGCTTAATTTTAAAGATAACCAAACAACTTAAAAATATGTATTTTGCAAAGGGACACTTTTAATCAAACCTTTCACCTGAAAAAACAGAACAATCTTTTCAGACTTATTTTCTTGGCTAAACAAATTCCTTTTTTCAAATAGGTGTGCTCTCCTAGCCCCACACTTTGACATTAAAGGCTCATGTCAGAGTTTAAGGACTGGTGATCAGAGACAAATCCTTTAAAGTGAAAAATGTTAACTTCTTTGTTTTTATTGCTTACCAACAAAAGATTGGTCTGGCTCATGCCAGCCAAAGTTCCAGGGCCATGCACCACAACAAAGGGTCTGGGGGAACCAAAGTGGGAAAAAAGTATCTATCTACTGAGCTGTAGTTGGCCAGTCTCTGGGCAAAAACAAGGTTTCCTGGTAGTGAGAACCTCAAAGCTGATTTAGTTTGTATTTCTCTAATTATTACAATTTAGAGCATTTTTTTCATAAAGTTGTTGATATCTTGAATTTCTTTCTTTGAAAACTGCCTTTTCATATTTTGACCATTTCTTTACTAGAGAATGCTCATAATGGGCTTTCCTTTGTCATTGTGAAGATACCAATGGAAGACATATGTTGTCTATCAATTATCTTTCTCCTGTCTTCTTTTCCACTCATATATTTCTTTGACAATATCCTTTACTCCTCTCCATAATTTTCTCTTCATAATGTGCTGCTGCCTACTCAGAGCCACCATTGTCTTCTAGTGATATATTAACTTTAAATTCTTCCGGAACTGTGTTGTTCCATGTCTCCCATCCATACAACACTGGTAGAATTTATTGGTATTATAAAGATGAGCCTTTGTTTCAAGGAGAGGTTTGGGGTCATTAAAAGAACAATCTAGCCTGCCCTGCTCCTGTTAAATTTTGGGCCTAGCTTATTTTTAATTAACCCCTTGTCTACCCCAATTGTTATTATCTATTCAAGATAATAAGAATACAACTTAATCCTAGTTAATATCGTATTTTATGAATACATATGTTTTTCATGCCACAGTCAAAAAAATACCTGTGTGCTATGGAGAGTTTACTCTGTGTGGAGAGTTTATGCACCATAGCACATAGGTATTTATTTGGGGACATCAAGTGCCAGGCATTATGGTGAAGACTCCAAAGCCGAAGGTAGATAGTAACAGAGGGTACACTTTTCCAAAAGAGCTGAGCACAGTTCTTCCAGCCTTACCCAGGGATAACAAATGCTTTATCCTAACTCAGCCTGGATGTGTAATGGCAAAACAATGCTAAAGACTCTGTAGACCTTGTACTTCTATAGAATTACTGCTACTCCAGATTTTCAATCAGGCTGAAGCAGGGCTCTGTAAGTAGGCCAGTTCTTCATACCAATTTAAAAAATCTATTGGCAACTCAAGAGTATAAAGCTGTTGCTGAATTCAGTTACCATGGTGGCCCAGCTGTCACAAGGCATACCAATAAATGATTAGCTGGAGGACTCGATCAAGAAAGTCAGGTCTTTCTTTCATCTGACTTTTGGTCAGTAAGCTCTAACACTGAATCCCCCTGTAGGCCTTTATTAATCACAGTGCTGCCCTACTTTGCTCTGGGGAGCTAAGCTGAGTTTGTATTTTTTTGCCTTTGAGTGTGATGGAACAATTATTCTTAGGATCCATCTTTACATCCAATGACAAGAATGAGTAAAAAGACAATCCTCAGTGGCAGCCAGCTTGCAAACTTCCAAGCTATCTTCTTTTTACTTTTTCCTATTTTGGGGGCAAGGAGAACGGATGATGAAAGCAAAGTTGATGTTACATAGGCTTTTCAGGCAGTTCTTGTGTTAGAGGAGGAGTCGACTCATGTTGGTTGGCATTTTCTATTTTTCAATAAATTCTAAAGAAGTTACTGGTAGAACCATCTTGACAATTTCCTTGGGGGTCAGAATTTAAATTTTCAGCTATGGAGTTACTATTCTTTGAGCTGAAGGTAGGAAACAAATGGAAAACATTTAGCCCTGAGTGAGGCAAGTAGCTGAGTTTCTTTAAGACATAATGAAACATAACTGAAATCTGTGGGGGGGAAAGTTATCAGTTTTGTGGTGGCAACACAGGAAATAGCTAGATGGTAACATCCCCAATGGCTACCCCTACGCCCCAAAATTATAGGTTGGGTCCTTCAGTAGACTGCTTTCCAAGGTTCAAGGTACTCTTTGAGTCGGAACACATAAACATGTAGTTCATGAGTCTCCATCTGTGTTTACTTTTTGCTTGTCAGATAAAGGAAATAGCTCAAAGCAAAGGCAATAGTGAAATGACATAGTAAGAAAAGTAACAACAAAACCTGTCCCCGTAAACCTGGGATACACTCTCCCACATGGACACACAGTTAATGGGAAGAGTAGATAACCAAAGAATTTACAAGTGGAGAAGAGCACTAATAGGAACCCATGTGGTCAAGGGCAGCTTTTTCCTTCAGTGCTACTCTCTTCCCCCGAGTGCCTGTATGTGATATCCTCAGACTGCTCCTTATGGCATATGATGCATCCTCTAAGCCCCTGGAGCATAAGCTTTGGTGGAGCACATGCCTTTAATGCTTGGCCATGGTTACTATTGTCTCCACTTCGGGCTCAGCTGAAACCTTGGCCTAAAATACTGCTATGAACTTTTAGAAAGAAACAGAATTTTAATTAGAGGCCTATAGTATCTTTTGCTTCCACATTTATTTCCTAGTGGCCCAGCACAAGAAACTTTTTTTCCCCTTGAATTCCTAATATTTCAAGATTAGCTCCTGCATCATTACCTAACAGAAAAAGTTGAAAGATAAATTATGGGATGAGCATGTTAACTCAGGCCTTCTTGCCTAGGAGTATATGCTGCTTGGCATTACCATTGTCAACATGTAGACAATCCAATCTTTCACTATGAGAGTCTTGCGATACATCCCTTTGTAATGTCACAAGTCTTTCTTAAAGTGACTGTTACTTAAATTCAGATTTTTATAAATTGGATTTCCTTCCAGGCAAGTCCCTTAAACTCTCAACTTTCTAGGCAATTCTTTAAGAACATGTTTCAGTGAAAATGTTGACCTGTTTTGGTAGAGGGAGTTCCTCACCAAGCAGTTCCATATACCAGTGAAATTGCATGTCTAGTCCCTGTCTCTATCCCTTGAAGAAGCAGGATGTCTTCCTACATTAAAATGAAAGCTTTAAATCTAAAGGTTGGTCCCATATGTCTGAACCTTTGGGTTTTTTTCACTTACTAGACTGATCAGAGGCAGGTCCCGGCTTAAGTCTGTGGTTTCAAATGGTAGGAGGCTATCTCTTTAATGTGTGGAGGAGGTCAGAGCAGAAGGATATGGGGGAGAAATCTGTCTAGCAGCTCCTACAGCTGTTACTCATCTCCGACTTGGCCAGGAATCCATAGCTACTCAAAGAATATCCAGCATTTGGATCTGGAATGGGAAATTTGCTTCATCATACCCACAGCTTTTTGATATAATGCTGGGTGGTTTTAGAATTGCTGAGCTTGCCTCTTCTGGCAATGACCTTCCTCCTTGAAGATTCTATCATGGAAATACCCTCAATTATCCACCTTTCCACATCCACTTATTGCCAGACACTTATTTCTGAGTACTGGAGAAGTGGCAGTATTGCCAAGTAGAGAGAGCTCTTGTCAGTAGCCATCTTTAGATTAGAGAGAGGAGGAAAGAAGAGGGAAAAGGAGTCTGTTTTCCTTTCCATTCATACCAGTTCAGACAGTATGCCCTTCTTTCTTTTCATCCCTCTCACCCTGTGGTTGGATACCTGAAACATGCAGGTAGCTTCTCTATTATAGTTTCTGCAGTCATTAGGGATGTGACATGGATCTTGGAATGGAGTGTCGTGGTTTGGGAAAGGGGTTCAGCAAAGGGTCAGAGAACTTTTCCTCCAGTGAAGGATACTGCACTCCAGCCAACCAAGGGGTGCTCTGATCATCTCTGACATGTACTATAAAAGGTGTCGGAGATACCATCCTTCTGAAGGTAGTTGTGGAGACTTCAGATTCTCTGGAGGTTGCCCTTGGAGGTTCCCTCCGAGGTTCCCTGGGGCTCACCGTCATAGTATGAGCAGTCATTGCAGCACAGTTTTTAGGCCATTAGATCCCTAGAAGAGGCCCATTTAGATAGCCCTTTAAAATTTGCAGAGTTCTCCATGTGTTTTCTCATTTGACCCTTACAACAACCCTGCAGGTTAGGCACTGTCATTATTCCCTTTTTTCAGATGAAGAAACTGAGATGGGGAGAGACTAAGTCACATGCCCAAGATCACATAGCTGCTAAGTATGAGGCAACATTTGAGCTTGGGCCTTCCTGACTTGAAGTGTTACACTGTATTCACGGTGCCACTTAACTGCCCTTGGCACCCATCTGCAGGTATGGGACAGTGCAAAAGGAATGAAACAAATGGGAGAAAGGGAAAGCATTCACAAGCCTCCTGCAAATTTTCAAATATGGACAGAAATGGCAAGACAAGGAATATTTTTGTGCTAGCCCTCCTCACCCACAGCCCCAAAGGATGCCTCTAGTACTAACTTTCCTCATTTGGTGCTTTTTTTTTTTTAAGGAATTGACAGTCCCACCAATGTGGTGACCGATCGAGTGACAGAGGATACGGCCGCTGTCTCCTGGGATCCTGTCCAGGCCGTCATCGATAGGTACGTGGTACGCTACACGTCTGTCGAAGGAGAGGTCAGGACGACGCCAGTGGGGAAAGATAAGAGCAGCACCGTCCTGACAGGCTTGAATCCAGGCATGGAGTATACTGTCCATGTGTGGGCCGAGAAGGGGAGCCAAGAGAGCAAGAAAGCCAACACCAAGGCCTTAACAGGTAACAACAGTAGCTTATGTGTGTATGGCGGCTTGAGGATTTGCAAGGTGCTTTTACAGTCCTTGTTTTGCTCCATCCTCGCGATAGTCCTATGAGGTACAGGCATTTTTAGGCCCACTTTACAGATGAGGAAACAGGCCTGGAGAAGTCAAGTTATGTGCCCACAGTTACACAGTTTTGGAAATGGTATTGAATCCCATGGTTCAAGATCTCACGTTTAGAGAACTACATTACATTGACTCTCTCAAGGAGAGAAGGAAAATAAAAACTGAGAAATCCCTTCAGGGAGAAGGGTGATGTTGTATCAGGAGACTGGTGCTCAGTTTTGACAGCTGGGGTGTCAAAATATTCAGAGAAACAAACGTGATTTCTTTTCATAATTGAATTTTGCCTTCTTAGCCTCAAATAAGCGTTAGCACATACATAGTTGTTTTTTCCCCCATCCATATTGTAGGTCACACTTAATTGGACTGTGAGTTCATGCAGCATTTTCCTAGAATTAGCTGACACTTTCTAATTTTCATTTCTGGACTTGAAAGCTTGAAACATTTGGCTGACAAAAGAGTTGAAAGCTTATCGTGGTTTGCAGTGACTGGTGGGTACTGTGCATATAATGTAGGCTTTTTCAGAGAATAAGGGGGTGGTTGGCATTCCAATGCGACAGAAACAAATATACTGAATATGCCTTTAAGCTTTCATAAATCCTACACGCTTACATCCTTCCTATAGACATTTAGTTAACTGTGAGGCCCACGGACACCACAGGACTTCACTCTGGAGCAGCAGTGTAATTCTTTCTCTGTTCAATCCTCCACCCTGCTTGGTGCCATCTATTAATCCAGGGCAGCCTGCTTAGGGAGACCACCTACGTTTCCAAAGAAAAAAGAAATGGTTTTCTCGACAGGTGGTTGCTGAAAACAGATTCATTTGTAGTTAATGCACTTCTCTCTGCCATCAACATAAATTGTAAGCTCAGTGTTTGATTTTGAATAGGATTTGACATTGGGCATGAGAAACAATATTTCAAGTGCTGTGTGGCTACCATTTAGGCAAACCCCACACTTCGGAGAAGTCTTTTGATATGGACTGGCCTAGTCCGCCCTTTTGACGGATCTGCATCTTCTTGATGTTTGGGGTTCTATCCAAGGCTCTGCCCAAGTGTCTCTGGCCTTTCCTGATTTCCTCCAATTGTTTTTGGTTCCCCCTCTCCAAATATTTGGTCAAAATTATCTTCGTATTTCCTGGCAATTAATAGTAAACTACTGCCCTAGTCTAGGCAAATTAATTTTGGAGAGGCTCATAACCAAATGGTTAGCCAACAGACAATGGGCTTTTTAGCCACAGAAACTCACTAAGACTGTGTGCTAAGGTCTGGAGGGGTTGCAATCCATACTGGTGGCAGGATTACCCATGCTAGTAAAATTATGAATCATTAAATTAAAATGTCTTTGAAATTCAAAGAACAGGAATGAAAATAGTATATAACATGAAAATAAGGAGCAGAAGAAACTGGGGATTGATTGAAACTTGTTAAGAAGACAATTTGAGGACAGAGTTCTAGTAGTTAAGATGGAACGTTCACTTTATCTAAAAGACCTACTTCTGATTATAGGATATTAACTCCCACTTGGAATTTCAGACCACTGGGTTAAAGGCTTAAACCACCACAACTCTTGGCATGTAATTAAGGCAAATATATCCTGGAATGGTCCTTGTTTTATGAAAAGAAAGTACTTCTAATGAGGTTTTGAAAAAAACCACATCCTCATTTTTGTGAAACTATCTTTTGTCTGGCCACGTGTCCCAATTTTAGGTTGGGAAAATGTAGTCACTGTGTAGCAAAATGGGCTTAGACATTTTTTTTGTCAGATAATCCTTATTTTTGTATACGCTGGCCTTTCAGAGTTATAAACATTAAACTTCTCTTCCTGGATATTTATCTTAAAGAAATCGACAGTCCAACCAATCTGGTAACTGAACGTGTAACTGAGGATACAGCCACCATCTCCTGGGACCCAGTTCAGGCTGCCATAGACAGGTACCTGGTGAGCTACATCTCTGCTGATGGAGAGACCATGGAGATACCAGTGGAGAAGGAAAAGACCACCACCATCCTGACAGGCCTGAGGCCAGGCATGGATTATACTTTCTATGTCTGGGCTGAGAAAGGGGACCAAGAGAGCAAGAAAGCCAACACCAACGCCCCAACAGGTAACAGAAGGAAATGTTACCATTGTTCACTCGCCTTAGGTAACACTTTTCTGTCCATGATGTGCTTAAAATTTTTTTTTTACAAAGCTGTAGCGAATGAGTATTATTATTTCAATTTAAAAACAAGCAAACTGAGCCCAAGAGGTGAAATAATTTGTCCAGGATCACAAAACTATTAAGTGGCAGAAATATTTTATGCCAGTGTTCTCTAAGTGCAAATCCAGTGGTCTTTTTACTACACTTTGTTGTCAATGGGGGCAAATACTCCTTGCCCCCACCATTTTCTCATTGATAGGTGGCCACCTGGTGGCCAATTTTAAGATTATTGCTGTTTGGTATCTGCGATAGCAAGTTGGAATAATTTCCTGTTTAAAAATGTTAAAGATCTGAGAAAAACAGCAAGATGGCAGCATGTAGCAGCCACAGTGTTATGTTCAAATGGCCTCCTTTAGGAGACTTGTTAAACTTTACTATGGTTTGCTTATTGAGATGCTCCTATACCATCTCTAGGATCCTTATAAAAAGACAGTAACGATCTCCACAAAAAGAAGTCCTACATAAAAATCAATCAATAAGTCAATTAGTAAGCATTTATTAAGCACCTATTATGTGCCAAGCTCTGGCCTCAGACACTTACTAGCTGTGTGACTTTGGGCGAGTCACTTTACCCTGTTTGCCTCAGTTTCCTCATCTGTAAAATGAATTGGAGAAGGAAATGGAAAACCACTCTAGTATCTTTGCCAAGAATACCACAAAAGGGGTCACAAAGAGTTGGACACGACTGAAAAATATGCCATGCATTGTTCTGGGGTCTGGGGATACAAATACAGTGAATGAAATAATCACTCTTCTCAAGGAGCTTACAGTCTAATGGGGGAGACATTAAACCCACATGAGTAAATGCATAATAAACATAAAGAGAATAAATAGAAGTGAATACAAGATAGTTAAACATAAGGTAATTTTGAGAGGGAGAACAGTAGTAGTTAATTGAGGGAGTGAGTCAAGAAAAACTTCACGTAGAAAGTGGTGCTGTTTGCCTCAGCTTTCTCATCTGGAAAATGGGGGTAATAATAACACCTGCCTTCTGGCTTTGTTGTGAGGAACAAATGACATAATAATTACAAAGCACAGTGCTTGACACATAGTAAGCACCATATAAATGTTACTTGTTATTATTATCTTGAAGAGAGAGAGGAATTCCATGAGGTAGAGGAAAGAAGGGAGTATATTTCAGACATGGAGACAGGAGACAGGAGGAACCATATCTGGTATGTGGTTAGATTGTAGGATGTGGGAGGGGGAATATTGTCCAAAAAGACTGAACACAGAGGTTGGGGTCATGAAGGTCTATAAATAAGAAATATATACCCTGGATGGTATAGGAGAGATCCATTTAACCAGTGGTTTTGCTGATCAAAAGATTACTTTGGAGAAACTGTTGTGCCCATGATTTGGGGAGCTATAAATCCAGGAAGTACCCATCTGTTCCCTTAGTTCTCCATTCCCAATCCAAGAAAGCAATAACATTATTGACTGAAGAGTGCTTTAATGATGCTTTCAGCTCTCATGTCCTATGACTCCTAAGTCCCTTATTTCTACCCCATCCTCATAAGAATGGATTGGTGGCAATAGATAATTTGGTGCCAATGCTTATTCTTCTCCAAACTTTTTTCTTACAGAAATTGATGACCCCAAGAACCTGATAACTGATCGGGTGACAGAGGACACAGCCACTATATCCTGGGACCCAGTCCAGGCTGCCATAGACAGGTACATGGTACGCTATACCTCAGCTGATGGAGAGGCCAAGGAGATGCCAGTGGGGAAGGACAAGACCACCACCACTCTGACAGGCCTGAGGCCAGGCATGGATTACACTGTTCATGTCTGGGCTGTGAAGGGAGACCGGGAGAGCAAGAAAGCCAATACTAAAGCCCCAACAGGTAACCAAAAGTAGCAATGTCATTACAAATAAACACTTTTTATTTTGTATTAGCTTTTTATATTAGCTTTATAGTTCATAGTGCCTTCTTTATAATAATCCTGTGAGGTAGGTATATAAATATTAATATCTTTGCTTTATAGAAGAGGCAATTAAGGCACAGAGAGATTAAGTAATTTTCTAAGGACCAAATTCTAATAAGTAGCAATCTAATGATTTCAGTTGTAGCTAGGTGGCATAATGGGTAGAGCCCCAGACCTGGAGACAGTAAGACCTGAGTTCAAATACTGTCTCAGACACTTAATAAGCTGTGTGACCCTGGACAAGCCACTTAATCTCTGTCTCAGTATCCTCATCTGCAAAATAATGATAATAATAACACCCACCTCTCAGGGTTGTTTTGGGGGTGAAATGAGATAATAATCATAAAGTGCTTTGCAAACTTTAAGGTACCATATAAACGCTAACTATTATTATTTTTTATTATTGTTGTTACTAACTCATGTCCTCTGACTCCAAATTCGGCAGTCTTTCCATTACTTTATGATACCAAGAGAGAAAAACATAAACTGGCTTACTTATTCAGAAATACCTAGCTGATGTTAAAATGTTAGGTTGTTGATGTCTTAGAAGACTTTCCAGCGGGGTGGTCATGTACTGTAGAGTAGGAAGAGTAGTGCTAGACCTAAAACTTGTTAGAACAAGGGATCAGGGATTCTTTTTCCCATTGAGGGGGTCCAGTTCTAGACTCACAGGGACTATATTCACTATGGAGGAAGGCTAATTTCTAAAGGGAGGCACTTCTGGCTTTTAGTTTTTTATGCCACCACCCAGAGCCCCAGGGAATAATCATCTAAACTTTATGTATGACTCAAGTCTAGGGTCTGCCTCAAAGGGATAATTAGGATTCCTTCTAGAAAGATACTCAATGTACTACTTATATCAGGCATAGGACAGCTATTTATTTCTCCTGCCACAACAGAAATACTTAATACACAGAAGATTACTAAGTATGCATTGACAAAAACTTAAAATGAAACTATTATCATACTTGCCTGGCAGATTGGTACTTAAAATATCAAAACATGAAACATTTTGAGGGACCCTCCTACCATTGGTGAGTTTCCCCTGGAACCTACATTTTGAGGAAAGGCCTAAGTCAGCCAAATTCACTCCTTCACTCTTTTCCTGGCTCTGCTCCTGACTTTCTGGATTTTTTTCCTCTACCCCGTCATCCTCCATTAGAATGTATGCTCTCTGAGGGCAGGGACTATGTTTTTTCTTTTTGTTTTTGCTTGCATTTCTTGTGTTTAGGGCTATGCCTGACACATAGTAAATGCTTCATAAATGCTTGTCAACAAGCCTAGAACAACCATTTCATTTCCACTTTGTCTCTGTACTGAGCTACTCCCTCAAGGTCCATATTTCTAGTGAGACAGGGCTCTTTCTCCTGGCTGTGGTTATCTTCTCTTCAGAGAGAAATGTCGAAGCTGTAAGAATCACCTCCTGTTGCAATTCACCTGGACTTCTTAATGACTTCAGACCCTCTCAAGTCCACAAGGGAGCCACCATGGTTGGAAATGTCTGTCTTAGAATTGCTGTTTGGGTATCTGTGCTCAGAGAAACAAAAAACAAAACCAGAGCGCATTGGAGACAGCTAGAGGGTCTCAGGCTTACCTAGATAGCTCATGTTCTTTCTGCCATGTATGTGTAACTACTAAAGCTACCAAAGGTGGGAAGGGGGCAAAATTCCTCCCCTTTCCCCCTTTATTCCTCTTCATTTCCCTAAACAGCAGAGGAGTCTAAGCAAGAGCTTTCAGAATTCTAGACCACATCTTGGTAAGGGAGGAAGAAGAGAGTGAAAGTGGATGTTGCTTCTCCCTTTTAAATTCTACCAAGTGGGCAAACTTTGCTGCTCAGTGGCCAATTCAGGGAGGCACATAGGGGCCAATCCGAAACCTCTGGTTTTGAATTTTCTTTAGCAAGTGGGCTAACTTTCAGAAGGACCAGTGAGCATGCGTCATATGCTTCAGACTAGGAGATCAGTGGTACTCCTCTGACTTCCCTCATTGTTACAGGTATATTGGAAAAAAAATATTAGATTTAGAGTCAGACAACTTAGCTTCGAAGTCCAGTTCTGCTAATTACTCCCCATATCACTCTGGGCAAGTCATTTAACTTCTCAGGACCTCAATTTCCTCCACTGCAAAATGAGAAATTAGAACTAGAGGTTCCACAAGGTACAACTGAACTCTAAGTCATATCATACATAACATGATTCTAGTCTATGGTGTCAAGGTAATGTGGCCTGAAAGTGCAATAAGGTGTGTGTGTGTGTGTGTGTGTGTGTGTGTGTGTGTGTGTGTGTGAGAGAGAGAGAGAGAGAGAGAGAGAGAGAGAGAGAGAGAGAGAGAGAGAAAGTGAGATAATATTTCATATTGACAGTGGGCCTTTAAGGAACTTGTCCAATTTTTCCTAGAGTCTAATTATTGAGATAATTGTAATACGATTTCCTGGAATCTTACTAAAAGATACACTGAGCTCTTCGGAGAAGAAGACCTAAAGGAAATAATAAATGATTGATTTGGAGATCCTACTGGAAGTCAGTCAAATCAGTGGTTTTGTTTGGTGGCTTCAAATACTAGTCCAAAGAGAGAGCCAATTCCCCCAACTCTGAGACACTGCAAGTTCAGAAATGGTCCAAAAGAGTGGACTTACAGTAATAGACCATAACGAAAGGGAACCAGGTACTTCCAGTTCCATGGAGTTCCCCAGGTGGCTGTGAGGGGGGATAGCTTTGTTATTATGCAGAGGAGGGTGAGGCTGATGATGGTCCAGGAAACTCTCCAATTCCACATATTCTGGTAAAAACAGATTGGGGCAATAGTCAACTTGGTACCAATGCTTATCCTTCTCCAAACATTCTTCTTAAAGAAATTGATGACCCCAAGAACCTGATAACTGATCGGGTGACAGAGGACACAGCCACTATATCCTGGGACCCAGTCCAGGCTGCCATAGACAGGTACATGGTACGCTATACCTCAGCTGATGGAGAGGCCAAGGAGATGCCAGTGGGGAAGGACAAGACCACCACCACTCTGACAGGCCTGAGGCCAGGCATGGATTACACTGTTTATATCTGGGCTGTGAAGGGAGACCAGGAGAGCAGGAAATCCAACACCAATGCCCCAACAGGTAACAGTTCACATCTTTATATTGACTTTATGGCTACCAGGCTTTCCGGACAATGATCCAGTGAGGCAGGTAATGCAAGTATAATGATCTCTGTTTCAGAGATGAGGTGACTGAGGAGCAGACAGTAAGCCACATTCTAGGAAGCAGCGCATCAAGCCTTGAATTCAGGTTCTTTAATTTCAGATCCAGTAGTCCCTCCATTAGGCTGCCAAGCGAGAGAAGAGGAATTCTCATTGCTGTTGTTTGCGGGTTTATTTGTGATACGTCTAGGCATTCCACATTCCACAATTGTTTCATTATTAAATCAATTAAAAATTGCTCTGTAGCTGTTATATAATTATCTTAATTTTTGATTTTTTTTTATAATTGACGTTCTTTTCTCAGGAGTCATATTTTCAGGTATAGGATAAGACTAGACTAAAACACAACATAGACTGGACTTTAGGGGGTCATCTAGTCCATTTTCCCCATTTTACAGATAGGGAAACTGAGGCTCAGAGAAAGTCAGTGACTTGCCCAATGTCAAACATGTGGTAAGCACCAGACCTGGGATTCAAACTCAAGTTCTTTGACTGCAAATTCAGTGCTCCTTCCATTGTACCACACTGTTTCTTTCTCTTTTTTTACTTTCATTCAGAAGCTGAATGTAATGGAGAACATACTGGCTATGGAGTCAGAATTTAGATTATGAACTCCTTGAGAGCAGAGACTGTCTTGTGCCTTTCTTTGTGCCCAGCACTTGGCACAGTGCCTGTCACATAGTAGGTGCTTAATAAATGTTGATTGAATATGTATGCTGAGAAACCCTTGGTAAATAATTTAACTTTTTATTGCTCCAGGCAAATCTCTATGACTATAAATTGCTGAGTAGGTGGTGACCTGCACTGGTAGAGGTACTTTCCTTACTAGCAGCTTTTTATATCAATGAAATTCACAGGTCCGGTTTAAAAATTTTGCTTTATTAATAAAACAAACAGCAGGTTATTTTAAAATTATGGCATCATATAAAGGTCAGTTTTGACAAGAAGGTAGATCAGACTCCCAAGTCAAAGAGGCAGCTAGGCAAAGGTGTCACTTTTATAAGCTTTTCAAATGATTCTTCCTCATTGGGGTTCAGAAGAGACACGCCAGTCAATGACAAGTTTGCTAGCTGATGTCGGTCAGGAGCATCAAAATCCTCATTCTGGAGGAATTGGAAATGTATGTGTAACAGGGTAATAAGGGAATCTGCTGCACTGGAGCTATTCTCATTGAGCTGACCATATGTTCTATTCCCTTTGGTGGGCTACATGCTCTGGTCGCTTGCTAAACCTAGCTGAGGCAATGAGGAGATAAAATGGACAAAGACCTAGAGTCAAAAAGACCTGAGTTCAAATCCAAGCTCAGACATTTACTAGCTTTGTGACCCTGGACAAGTCACTTAATCTCTGTCTGCCTCAGTTTACTCAACTGTAGAATGGATAGGATAATAATAGTACCTACCTCCCAGACTTGTTTTGAGGGTAAAAAGATAAAATTTATAAGGCACTTTATAAATCTTAAAATGCTATGTAAATATTAGCTGTTAAACAGCATCTTCCGTCAGCAACTCCTGGTTGGTTCTCTTGTATCCCTGGGACTTAGAGGAAACTTGTAACAGGGGGTCATGGAACTGACCTGTGCATTGACCTCTTGTTGAGGGTCACAGGTTTGCTTTTTTGGGATGACAAAGCAATCTCTTATTGGTCCTCCTGACCAAAGGTTGTACCAGAGAGGATTACGGTAAATGGCTAGTAAGTTGACCGTTCTATAGATTCAGGTTAGAAGAGAGCCAACTTTTAGCCTCTGTTCTAGGTAAGCCTCTTTGTTGGTTTACAGGTTACACATATGAAATGTTTTGATCAAAGTATGACATGCCAAATCATTCCTGCTAAGGAATCATGTATTGCCTTGCTGTTCATTTATCGACATTAGTCAATACCATTTGTAAAGGGAGTTGAAGTGATTGCATCAGCCGTACCTTGGTCTAGTGCAGTGACCATATGGAGACAGAACCTAAGTAACTTTCCTGGTAATAAAAGAAGAATTAGAAAGACTCAGTAATCCTTTACCATCACAAAGGCAAAATGCAGCGTCGATGGATGTTTCTCTAATTGAAAAACTTACTGGGAGTGATGAAGTCAGGGCTTGGGGAGACCAGAGCTTATTCTGTCACATGGAAAAAGAATAATAATTTGAGAAATGACTATACCCAGTTCTCTCCTTTGCATCCAGAGATGTTCTAGTAATGCACGTTCCAGGAAGGGAGAAATCTTTTATTCTTCATGCCTCAGTTCACTCCTTGGGTCTTGACTGATTATGATTACGGTGCCTTTAGGCATAATATTGTATAGTTTCCCTGTTTATTTCTTGGCTGCATCCACTTTTACTGTTGCTTGTCTAAAATCATGATTGCTACTCCTGCTGTTTTGGATCCAGTCAAGTCGTAATAAATTCTACTCCAACCCATCATCTTAACAGTAAGTTAAGTGTGTTTTCTTGTATATAGTAAATTATTAGGTTTTGGTTTCTAATTCATTCTGCCACCCTCCTCATTTTATGGATAGATTTATCCTATTAATGTTCATAGTTGTGATTAAGTTTGTTTTCTCTCTATAAAATGCTACTATAATATGTTTTTGTTTGTTTGTTTGTTTGTTTTCCCGGCTCTTCTCCAGCCCATTTAAAAGAAAAAAATCTGAACTTTGAGCTTTTGTTGTTTAGTTGTGTCCCACTCTTCATGAGCCCATGTGGGGTTTTCTTAGCAAAGATCCTGGAGTAGATACTGTTCCTTCTCCTGCTCGTTTTGCAGATGAGGAAATGGAGGCAAACAGGGTAAAGTGACTTGCCTAGGATCACACAGCTAGGGTTTGAGGTCACATTTAAACTCAGGAAGATGAGTCTTCCTGACTCCAGGCTCAGCAGTCTATCCACAGTGCCATCTAGCTACTGCTAAGTACACAAATTTTGTGTTGCTTGAGATGATCTGATCATAGGCTACTTTCTCTCTTTACTCTCCCTTCTTGGCCCAGACCTCAATTACAAATGTGTCTTGCATTTTTCCTCTTATTTTATAATCTTCCCTTCTTAGTACCAAACCCCTCCTTGACCACATCCTCTGACTCATATATCTCTGTTCCCTCTCCTTATTTCATCCTAATTCCCTGCTCATTTTATTCTATTACTTCCACTATAATTGATACATTATAAAAAGTTACCTTCCCTTTCCTGGTCTAGATAAGGTAACATGTAACTTTCTCAAAATCTCCTGCTCCTCTGTGATTCCTTGTGACCTTTTGTTTTCTTCTTGGCATTTTATATTTTATTTTTGAGTGAGGGGGAAGCGAGGCAATCAGGGTTAAGTGATTTGCCTAAGGTCACACAGTTAGTAAATGTCTGAGGCTGTATTTGAACTCACATCTTCCAGTCTTCAGACCCAATGGTCTATCCATTTGCCTTCTAGCTGATAGTTCCACTGTGTTTTGTTCTGACCAAACTGCTTGTAGAGTAGTGGTTTAGTTGTGAGGCCATTTTGATAAACTATAGGATTTCTGGAAGAAGGCAGCCAGGATGGAAGGAGGTGGGAAGAGTTAAATAAATAAGAAAAAGAGAGAAGACAAGGCCACAATAGCTGTCTTTAAATATTTGAAGAGCTGTCATGTGGGAAAGAGATGAATCTTGTTCTGCATGGGCCCAGAAGGCAAAACAAGGAGAAATGGGCTTCAGTTGTAAAGAAGCAATTTCAGTTTGATGTTGGGAAATTTTCTAACAATTGGGGCTATCAAAGAGTGAAATGAATTGCTGTGTGCTCCCTTGAGCAAAGGTTGAATGACCATCTATTAGTTATGTTATAGAAGAGATTCTTGTTCAGATGTGGATGAGATTAAATGCCTTCAAATTCTGAGATTCTCCGCTACTGGGAACTCTGGAGCTTGACCATCTAATTTGAGATAAACCTAGGTCTTCTCTCTGCTTGTATCCTTTGGATTTTGTGGGTTCATAGTTTACTCTCTGATTCTAGCACTTCTGAGCAATTTTCTTTTATATCTTCCCAAAGTACGGCATTCAGGCTGTTTGTTTCATCACAGTTTTCTGGAACGCAAGTGATTTTAAAATTCTTTCTCCAAGCCTTGTCTTGTAGTGTGTCGTAATTATGTTTTCTTTTCTGCTGTCTTTTGACTTTGTTCTAATAATTCTTATTGTATTATTGAGTTTTTGAGTTCTATTGCCTCCATTCTCTTTATCATGTTGTCCCCTCTTTGCTTTATTTAAAGCTATAAATTCTATTTCAAAATTTTTCAGTAAGACTGCTAATTTCACACTTCTTTTTTCCTTCATTGGTTTTGTTCGGTCTTCTATGCACCTCCAGGTTTTTTTATGATTGTTCCATTCTTTTTTTCCCCTTGAATTCTAGGCATAGTTACTATAGCTTTATTCTTTTCTTTCTTTCTTCCTTTCTTTCTTTCTTTCTTTCTTTCTTTCTTTCTTTCTTTCTTTCTTTCTTTCTTTCTTTCTTTCTTTCTTTCTTTCTTTCTTTTTCTTTCTTTTTCTTTCTTTCTTCTCTTTCTTTCTTTCTTTCTTTCTTTCTTTCTTTCTTTCGGCAATGGGGTTAAGTGACTTGCCCAGGATCACATAGCTAGTAAGTGTTATGTGTCTGAGGCCGGATTTGAACTCAAGTCCTCCTGAATCCAGGGCCGGTGCTGTATACACTGCACCACCTAGCTGCTTCCAGCTTTATTCTTTTCTGAAAAAAATTTCCTTGCATTATCTTACTCTATATTATTTCTTTTCTTTGCTTCCTCAATTCCAAAATATCTGTTCTGGTTTGTTTCTATTCTTTCCAATCAACATTTTAATTGTTATTAATTTTAGTTTATTTGGCACATTTCTAGCTATTTATAAGGTGAAGAGGAAGAGCTGGCTTACATATAGTCTCTCAGACCATCTTGCTGGAAATTCCTAATTTGTTTATTCAGATGTTCTCAGCTGGCCTTAAATAGTAAGACTGACTACTTCTGTTGTAGAAGAATAGTTCCCTGGGTGATCCATTTTTCTTCCTCTTGAGGAAGCTATATATATCCAAGGAGGCCCAAAAGAATGAACTTAAAGTGGACCTGGAAATGGGGACCAGGAACTATCTCTTCCGTGAACTCTCTCAGGTGTCTATAAAAGGAATGTCATGATTATTGTGCAGAAGATGGCTATGATGAGAGTCTTAGAGGCTTGCCATCCCCACCAATACTCATGAAGATTGTTTGATGCTCATGACCAAATTGGCACCAATGCTTATCTTTTCCTAAACTTTTTCTTAAAGAAATTGATGATCCAAAGAACCTGATAACTGATCGGGTGACAGAGGACACAGCCACTATATCCTGGGACCCAGTTCAAGCTGCCATAGACAGGTACATGGTGCGCTACACCTCAGCTGATGGAGAGACCATGGAGATACCAGTGGGGAAGGACAAGGCCACCACCATCCTGACAGGCCTGAGGCCAGGCATGGATTATACTGTTCATGTCTGGGCTGTGAAGGGAGACCGGGAGAGCAAGAAAGCCAACACAAAAGCCCCCACAGGTGATGGATCATGATTAGATGAAAACATAAGAGATTACAAAGTAGACCTATAGGAGAAAAAAAGGGAACAAGCATTTATTAAGCACCTATTATGTGTTATGCACTATCCTAAGTGCTTTATAGTATCTCATTTGATCCTCATAACAACCTTGGCAGATTAGTGCTATTATTAATCCCACTTTACAGTTGAAGAAACTGAGGCTTGGAGAGATTAATAGACTTTCCCAGGATCACATAACTAATAAGCGTCTGAGGCCAGTTTGAACTCAGGGCTTCTGGACTCTAGGCCCAGCTCCCTCTCTACCTAGTTGCTTCCTAGCTGGTTTGTCCAAGGCTTTTTTTTTTCTCCCCTTACTTTGACAGTGGTACAGAATAATATTGTATGGGTAAGAGGACCAGTGTTCCATTTTCCCTCATTACACATGGCCTACATTTCTAATTCCCTTTAATAAGTTTTTTAAAAATTAGGACTTTTGTACAAGTAAGGTCCCAATTAGTACAAATAACGAATCTTGTGAAGTGGAAACATTATCTGAATCTACACTGACTGGCTGGAACCAGTAACCACATTTTACATAATTATAACTTTGAATGGTGCAAATTTGAATACATGAGACCTCTTCATGATATTTATCATTTGTGTTAATTGGCACGTAGTTGTAGTGTTCTCTAAAGCACGACTGGGCCAAAATTTCTCTGACTCTTGTTTTGGCTTTATCTTCCCCCTTTTATCTTCTTAGACTGTACTTCTGGGTCTTACCATGAACAAATGAGAGTGAAAAGAGAATAAAAAATCAGCAAGTACCTGCCACAGTAGCTACAATAAAACTTCAAGTTAAAAATTTGAATGATAATAGGTTTTCCAGTGAACAATGGCTGATAGATGTATTTGTGACTCACCTAATTACATTAGAACCCTTTTGGAATTCTGGTGTGTTGATAAGATGAGAAATGATGAGGGATGTGTCTATTGGTCTTTAGTGAGATTTAGTGAGAAAGCACTGCTATACATAGGGAGCTGTGACCAGAAAATCTCTCACCTGGGGCAAAGATAATCTAGCCAAGGGGGCAGTCACATTAGTGAAGGAGATGGCTCATATGATAGAAAGTCTGTCCTTTGTCCTTAAGTAGGTAGAAAGGAAAGCTGGCCTGTGAGAGGCCATACCCCAAAGATTGTTTTGAAGTATGGTCATGCATGCACATGGAGGACCGTGAACTGAGGTGGAGAAGGTCCCCATTACCAGGAAGCATGCTCCTGTATGTCTGGATCCTGGCACAGAGTACTATCCAAAGGAATGATTTACAGTTCTACACATACACCACCATGAACAGTGATTTCTTACACCTTACTCCCTTGCCAGTGACACTTGCCACAAGATACTCTATCTCTAGACTTTGAGCCTTTTCACTGCCTGTCCCCCTGTGCCTGGAACACTTTTCCTCCTTATTTTGACCTCCCGGCTTCTCTGACTTCTTTCCGGGCCCAGTTAAAATCCCATCTTCTATAATAAGCTTTTTCTGATCCCCCTTAATGCTTCTGGCTTCCCTCTATTGATTACTTCCAATTTATCCTCTCTCTATTGTTTCTACACTAGTTGTTTTCATGTTGTCTGGCCAATTTGTCTGCAATGGAGTGGATGTAAAGGAGAATATATGCAATCAGCCTCAGAACACAGGCTGGAACTAGACTGTGAGAGGCTTTAAATGCTAAACAGAGGTGTCTGAGTTTTATCCTAGAGGCAGTAAGGAGCCATTGAAAATTGTAATTCAGAGTAGTGACACGCACAGATCTGTGCTTTAGGAATGTCATTTTATCAGCTGTGTGGAGGATGGATTGGAGATTAGTTGCAAGGAAACCAATCAGGAAGCTATTGTAATAGTTTTGAACTAGGGAGATGACTATGGGGGTGAAAAGAGATGGATGCAAGAGATACTGAAAAGAGATACTTCAAAAGACTTTGAAACTGTTTGGGGGGATGAATGAAAGTGAAGAGTTGAGGATGACAAGTTCTAAAAATGGATGACTGAAAGAATGGTGGGACTCTGGCACCCATAACAGAAATAGTGAAGTTGGGAAGATGGAAAGGAAGAAGATAATGAGTTCTGATCTTTAATTTTGTGTTTTTTCTAATATAGCATTCTGTCTTCCTGTAACACTAATCAACATGTTAGGGAGACACGCTTACAGCCAGGGCAAATGAGACAACTTGAAAATAATAGGACAAGACAGAACAAAATGCCTCTTCTGAAAAGCAAGAAGGGCCTGAAATTATCTCAGACTAAGATAAATGAACTTCAGATCATATACTTTGGTGCTTATTAATAACTCTGTCCTGATTACCTCTTTTTCTTTTAGAGATTGATAGTCCTAGAAACTTAGTGACTGACCGAGTGACAAAGGATACAGCCACTATATCCTGGGACCCAGTCCAGGCTGTCATAGACAGGTACATGGTGCGCTACACCTCAGCTGATGGAGAAACCCAGGAGATACCAGTGGGGAAAGACAAAACTACTACTATTCTACCAGGCCTAAGGCCAGGCATGGAGCATACTGTATATGTCTGGGCTGTGAAGGAAGACCGAGAGAGCAAGAAAGCCAACACAAAAGCCCTAACAGGTAACAGGAGAGGAGAGAAACAGAAACCAATTTTCGTTGACTCAGGGACAGTCAGCTGATATTAAATTGTGATATTGCTGCTGTCTAATGTTGATACCAGTTGGTATTAGGGTACTGTGGACTCAATCTGGGATGGTTTTATGTTAGAATTCTCCAGAAGAAATGGCAAAATGGTAATGGTGGTTCCAGTCTTATGTTGTTCAATGGCTCAGATGAAACTTCTCACAAGACGTCATCTAATGAAATATTATGGTGACATCTTGTATCAATACCTTTAAATGCTCTTGGGAGACCAGGAGAAACTTTCTTAGGCTTTGCTTAGTGAACCACATAATGTAACATTTCAGTATCCTTATCAAATTATAATCTCTTTGAAGAAGGACTATTGAAATAATATCCACAATAGCTTTGTGATCTTGAAAAGCAGAGTCTGCTTCTACAACACTTTAAAGGTAATGAAACTGGAGGCCAGATAAGGGTAATGCATGACTTATTCTCAGAGCAATACCATAGTGTATGGAGGAGCTCATGCCTTTCTACAGTGCCATTCTACAATCTTTGGGGGCAGTGTGTGGGGTATTTCAAGTTTTAGGATTATGATGTAAAGTAAGTTTTGATGAAGGAGGAATGACTTAGACAGATGAGGGAAAATTAAGGAGAATAAGATATTGACAGAGATTGGAAAGGTGGTAAAGATAATATGATTATACCCATAAATAAGAAAGAATAAATTTGAATGGGAAAGATAAGAAGGGAAAGAAGATTGGGGGAGTTGAAAAATGAGATGCATTTCTTTGTGTTTATCATTCACCTATCTTCATGTCTTCTTCCTGTTTTTCCATGGCAAACTCTGTATTTAAGTGAGGAGACCATTGTTTTTCTCTGCTTCTGTTCTGTGTGTGTGTGTGTGTGTGTGTGTGTGTGTGTGTGTACATGCACATGCGCATGTGTGAGTATGTGTATATATACACAAATGCATATATGTATGGAAAAATGGCAAAGGCAAAGTCAGCTGAAGAAATCTAGCAGAAGCCAGCTTTTTAAAAAACCTCAGGCAACCGGATATAGTTCTGTTTCAATGGAGAAGTTAATTTTATGGAGATCTAAGCAGGGTTGTACTGCAGCCAACTCAAACCAGCCAGTGAAAGCCAATTGTCAAATTTTCATTTTGAGCACTTAGATCTTAGAAATCTGCAAACTCTATAAATCAGGGCTTGATGGATTATTTTGTTAATTGTCTAGACTTAAAAAAGTGATGGAGAAAAAGTTAATAATATAAATTAAATTTAAAAGTGTATTGATTTTTTCTTCCCTGGAGAGTCAGTTGTTAGACATTTACCAGCACACCACTGCATATAAGTGAAGAAAAGCAATATGGTGGAATGGAAAAAACACTAGACTAGGAGTCACATGACTTTGTGCAACTTTGGACAAGCCAGTGAACCTACTGGGGCCTCAATTAGTTTTTCTTCTATGATCAGTTATTAGTTCAAGAAATATTTATTATGAGCCAGGCACTATGCTGAGCAATGGGGATAAAAATATGAAAGAGAAAAACAGTCCTTTCCTTCAAGGAGCTTACAGTCTAATGGAGGGGATACAACACATAAAAGGAAGCTGAAAAGAGGAGGAGAGGGGTGGGAAAGAAAGTTCCCATAAGTGGGGACATGGGTTTGGGCATGAGGGAGAAGTCTGAAGAATGCAGGTGAGTGGGAAATGAAAAGATGGCGGGCCTGAGTATCCTTTTTGAACAGAGGTTTTGAGAGGAGCTCTTTGTTCCACCTTGTAATCAGAGGAGCAGAAGGTACTGATAAGGTGTGGGGACCAAGGCTCATGTGATCTTACAGGATGATAAGATTCCTGATATTGAGGTTCATGGAGGCATGATGGAGATGTCCAAAGGAGTGTCCAGGTTGGCAAATATATAAAATGTTTGAAGATCTACAAAATAAGAGGTCTGTACTAAATAATCTCTCTAAGCCCCTTCCAACTCTAAAGAAATCTCTAAATCTAAGTAAGGAAGAATCCTTAAAGTTACAGCAGAGGCTATTTAATCAGTGATTTTTGTGGCTCAAAATGTTGCTCAGAAGATCTTGTTCTACTTGCTTTTTTGTACTGTACGTATTTATTAACATTTTTGTTTTTCTATTTTTTTCTTTAAAGTGGAAGGTAGAGGAGAGAAAAAACAAATGCTTATTAGATTAAAAGAGAAAGAACTGATTAAATGGAAGTTTTGTGTCTAATGGTAACCATCTCTAGAGTGGGAGGATAGGGAAGAAAAAAAAAGAAATTTACATGATATTTTTGTTATATATTTGAAAGGAATAATGAGTTGTGTACAGTAGATTTGCAGTTTCACGTGCAATCATCTTTTTATTGCACTATGTTATAGAAATACTTTTTATTCCACAAATTAAGAATAAAATAACATTTAAAAATAAAATTAAAGAGATAAAAATAATGAAGTGCTGCTATTGATTAAAAAAATGAATTTAGGATAGACCTTGGGAAATAGGAACTGGGTCCTACCTGCTCCCTTAGCTCCCCCAGGTGGCCACAAAGGGAATAGCTTTATTATTGTGTTAAGCATGACCCTGATGATCATCCCAGAAGCTTGCCTTTATGAGAGGATGGAGATGGGTTGGTAATGATGGCCAACTTGGTGCCAATATTTATCTTCTCCCAAATTCTTTTCTTGAAGACATTGATGATCCCAAGAACTTGATGACTAACCAGGTGACAGAGAATACAGCAACTATATTCTGGGACCCAGTCGAGGCTGTCATAGACAGATACATTGTGCGCTACACCTCAGCTGATGGAGAGACTAAGGAGATGCCAGTGGAGAAGGACAAGACTGCCACCATGCTGACAGGCCTGAAGCCAGGAATGAACTACTCTATTTCTGTCTGGGCTGTGAAGGGAGATCGAGAAAGTAAGAAAGCCAACACCAAGGCATTGACAGGTAATAAGGGACTGTTAAGTTACCCACAGAAGAAAAGAAGTCTCTCCTCTTTCGGTTCTGAAAGCTTATTTCGGTTAGCGAGGAGGGAATAATAAAGCATTTGCCTCCAATCTTTGCTTTTTCCAGTGGCTGGTTGAGGCCTTCTTGTACTGCGTATTTGCTTTCTATGTGTGATAGACCTCAAGGGATGGGTAGAGAATCTCAGAGTACAAACCTCAGGGAATCCTAGTGTACAACAGTCTGAGTGATGCCTCCTTTGGGTCATGTGTACCAAGTCATGTATGTGCTAACCATTTAACCAGTATCCATCTCAAACAACTTGCAGAATTTCAGAGTTGGAAGGAAACTTAGTGGTCATCTAGTCCAAGCCACACCCTCTAAAAATCCTTATAACAAGACAAGTGACCAGGGCTGACCTTTTCTTGAAGACCTCTCATGAGAAAACACTCCCCCCTCTCCTGAGGCACACGATTCTATTTTTAGACAACTAGGAAGTTTTTCCTGACATCAAACCTAAAAGTTGCTTCTTTACAATTTCGCCTCATTTCTCTTACCTGGGGCAACACTGAACATGTCTAACTCATCTTTCACATGGCTGGCCTTCAAGAACTGGAAGACAACTATATTCTCTTCTCCCAAGACTCTTCTCTACTATGTTAAATATCCTCAGTTTCTCTCAGCAATTCTCATGTGGTATGGACTCAAGTACCATTATTATTCTAGGTACTGCCCTCTGGCTTATTAGTGTTCTTCCTAAAATGTGGTCCTAGGAACTAAACACAATATGCAGTCTTAAAAATTGTTTGTTTATACAATATTGATATTATAGTAGATATTTTCTCCTAATTCTGATCACTTTATTCTACATCAGTTCATGTAGGTCTTTCTAGTTTCTGTGAAATAATCTCTTCATCTCATACAGCACAATAATATTCCTTTACATTCATATACCATAATTTGTTCAGCCATTTCCCAATTGATGAGCACCCCCTTAGTTTCTAGTTATTTGCCACTATAAAAGGGCTGCTAGAAATATTTTTACATATAAGAATCCTTTTCTCTTTCTTTTGGCTCTTTCAGGTTTTCTTTTTTTTTCTTTTTCTTTTTTTTTAGGCAATTGGGGTTAAGTGACTTGCCCAGGGTCACACAGCTAGTAAGTGTCAAGTGTTTGATCTGAGGCCAGGTTTGAACTCAGGTACTCCTGAACTTCAGGGCCCGTGTTCTATCCACTGCGCCACCTAGCAGCCCCACTTTTAGCTCTTTCACATATAGGCCTAATAATGGTGTTGCTGCATTAAAGGGGATGCAGTTTAGTGACTTGTTGGACAAAGTTTCAGATGGTTTCCATAATGGCTCTATCAATTCACAGCTCCACCAAAAGTGCACCAATGTACCTATTTTCCCCACAGTTCCCCCAAAGTTTGCCATTTCTCTTTTTTGGTCAATTTTACCACATGATAAGTGTGAGATGGAAACTCAGAATTGTATTGATTTGCATTTCTCTAATTACTAGTGACTTGGATCATTTTTTCACATGGTTAGTGATAACTGGGATTTCTTTTCTTGAGAACTGCCTTTCAAATCCTTCAACCATTTATCAATTGATAAGCATGATCTGTCCACGACAAAGTCATGCTTGGTTCTCTGTGATCATCACTTCCTTTTCTAGATATTTATAAGCTATCCTTTTAGTAATGTATTCTAGAATTTTATTGGGAATTGAAGTCACACTCACAGACCCTCCTTTGCAGAGTCAATCCTTTTTTCTTTTGTTTATCTCCTTTCCTTGAATTACTGTCTTGAACCTAAATGAAAGACTTTCTGTTTATCTTTATTTAGTTTCATTTGATTAATTTTAGTCCAGTATTTTAGCTTGTCAAGATCTCTTTGGAACCTGCATCCATCATCCAGTGTGTTTGCTATCCCTCCTGGTTTTATGTTCTTTACTCATTTGATACCTTTAACTAAGTCACTGACAAAACCATTTACAGCTCTGCCCCAAGATTCTTGAGTAATCCACTGGATACTTCTTTCCCATTTGTGGTATGATCAATGACTACTCTTCATATTTGAGCATTTGACCAGTTCTGAGTCCAACTAATTGAAATATTATCCAGCCCATATTTCTCCATCTTTTCCACACATGTACAATGAGATACTTTCCTGAAGGCTAGGTAAACTTTATAGCATTCCTTTGATTTACCACTGTAGTTAATACAGGTTAGTTTTTTGGGATCACTGTATCTTTGTCTAGGTGTTCATTTACAATCTCTTTAATAATAGATTCTAAAATATCTCCAAGAAATCCCCCAAGACTAAGCCACCATAGATCTGTTGTTATTTGGTGGAAGGAAGTTCTCCACTCTGATGAAACCACAGGTTATTCATATACTATGATCTCGTTTATTCTTTCATTTCTGTAAAGTTAAGAAGATGGCACCTAATATTGTTTCTGGTTGATTTGGATGGGAAAAGAGAAGCAAAGAAAAGGTGTGTTCTTGGTTCAGATTCCTAGACCTAGCCAGCACCTGACACAGCCTAATCAGTTTATTCAAATGCTGATTGATGTGCCCAAATGATAAAATGTTTGACAATTACCAAAGCTATTTTATTGTTTCATATTACAATGATATTGCCTCTAAGCATTCTAGACTGTTTCTTTCAACAATAACCTACTGAAAGGAGATTTGGTTGTACCCATTTGACACTAGAGTATGGACTGGGGTCATGGGAGAGGGTTAAGGAAATGCACAAGGAAAGTACAGAATAGTTCAATAGTAATCCTACTCTTTTGGGAAGACTTGGGACCGGGGGGTGGAGGTTGAGGGAAGTGAGAAACAACCAGAAAGTGAAAACCTCTGGGTGGTACCATTTGTTAGTAACAAGTGTACAGATTGGTGAACTGGAAATAGCAATGGATATGACATCAGATCATATGGCTTGAGTTCAAATTCCAGCTTTGCCACTAACTACCTGTGTGATTTTGGGGAAATCATTTAACTTCCAGGGCTTCATTTTCTTCATCTGTGAAATGAAGAGACTGGAAGAGCTGACTGTTAAGGTCTATTCTAACTCTAAAAATCTATGATTATATCTCTTCTCTGTGCTTTACTTCTATAAAATGATGGAGTTTTACTAACTGACCTTTAAGATTTCTTTCATCTCTAGATCATATGAACTCTGCAGCCTTTACTTGCATCACTGTATGCTGCAAGAGATTTCAGGTCATTTAATTTAAATTCTTCTCAGTCTTACAGCCAGAATATTCTGAAGAAGAACCTTGGCACCAAGGGGTTAAACCAAAACAAACTGGTTTTTGACGTTAAGGTTTTTATTTTTTAAGTTTAGTTTGGATTTCAAAAGCAGGAAATTAGATTCTGCCATATAACAGAAAGAACAGAAGGTATGCCAATCCTCTTACTTGAGGAAATAAGACCAAGTTGATGATATAGAAACTCAAAGTACCTATAAAGCTCTAATTCAGAGCAATAGTTATTTGATTACTATTAAAACACAGTAATTTACTTCTGAGCTGAGACCTTGTGTGGAAATTTTTCAGCCTGGAGGCATCTTTTGGGGGACAGCTAAATTAAAATAACTTCCAACAAGGAATTTTTTAAGATGGAAATTTCAAGATATGTCTTAGGAATGGTATGAAAAAACCACCTGAGATAAATGCCCAAATATTATAATTGAGAATTATAGTACTGCTGAATTTTAGGTTTTCTTGTGTACAGAGAAACTCTTATAACCCATGATTCCACCTGGAGCTTGTGTGGGAGACCACATGGAAGACAGAAAAAAAGCCAGAGTCCCCTTTCTTTGTCTTTCTGTCTCTGTATATGTCTCTCTGTGCTTAGGACATAGTAAATTCTTTTTTTTTTAAATATAAATTTATTTATTTTTAGTTTTCAACATTCACTTCCACAAGTTTTTGAGTTCCAAATTCTCACCCCATCTCCCTCCTCCCCCCACCCCAAGATGGCATGCGTTCTGAATATCCCTTCCCCTAGTCTGTCCTCTCTTCCATCTCTCTCCCCTTCTCTTATCCCCTTCCCCTTCTATTTTCCTGTAGGGCAGGATAGACTTCTGTACCCCATTTCCTGTATTTCTTATTTCCCAGTAGCATGTGAAAACATTTTTTTTAAACATATGTTTTTAAAACTTTAGGTTTCAAATTTTCTCTCTTCCTCCCTCCCCACCCACCCTCATTGAAAAGGCAAGCAACTCAATATAGGTTGTACATGTGCAGTTATGCAAAACACATCCATAGTAAACATGTTGTGAAAAACTAACTCTATTTCCCTTAATCCTATCCTGCCCTCCCATTTATTCTATTCTTTCTTTTGACCCTGTCCCTCCTCAGAAGTATTTACTACTGATTACCCCTTTCCCAATCTGCCCTCCTCTCTATCATCCCCCTGCTCTCTTGTCCCCTTTCCCCCTATTTTCCTGTAGGGTAAGACAGATTTCCATACCCAATTGAATGTGTATGTTATTCCCTCCTTAAGCCAAATCCTATGAGAATAAGATTCACTCATTCCCTCTCACCTTCCCCTTCCCCTCCACTGTAAGAGACTTTTCTTTTCTGTTTTTTTGTGAGATAATTTACCCCATTCTACCTCTCCCTTTCTTCTTCTCCGAGTATAATCCTCTCTCATCCCTTAATTTTATTCTCCAGATATGACCCCTTAATCTTCAACTCACCCTGTGCCCTCTATCTATCTATCTACATATACATACATATAATTTTTTTCCTCCAACTACCCTAATACTGACAAAGGTCTCATGAGTTATAAATATCATCTTTCCATGCAGGAATGTAAACAGTTCAATCTTAATAAGTCTCTTATGATTTCTCTTTCCTGTTTACCTCTTCATGTTCCACTTGAGTCCTGTATTTGAAAGTCAAATTTTCTATTCAGCTCTGGTCTTTTCATCAAGAATGCTTGAAAGTCCTCTATTTCACTGAATGACCATTTTTTCCCCTGAAGGATTATACTCAGTTTTGCTGGGTAGGTGATTCTTGGTTGTAATCCTATCTCCTTTGCCCTCCGGAATATTATATTCCATGCCCTCTGGTCCTTTAATGTAGAAGCTGCTAAATCTTGTGTTATCCTGATTGTGTTTCCACAGTACTTGAATTGTTTCCTTCTGGCAGCTTGTAATATTTTCTCCTTGACCTGGGAACTCTGGAATTTGGCTACAATATTCCTAGGAGTTTTCCTTTGGGGATCTCTTTCAGGAGGAGATCTGTGGATTCTTTCAATTTCTATTTTGCCCTCTGGTTCTATATATCAGGGCAGTTTTCCTTGATAATTTCTTGAAAGATGATGTCTAGGCTCTTTTTTTGATCATGGCTTTCAGATAGTCCAATAATTTTTAAATTCTCTCTCCTGGATCTATTTTCCAGGTCAGTTGTTTTTCCAATGAGATATTTCACATTGTTTTCTAATTTTTCATTCTTTTGGATTTGTTTACAGTGTCTTGATTTCTCATAAAGTCACTATCTTCCAATTGCTCTATTCTAATTTTTAAGGAAGTATTTTCTTCAGTAAGCTTTTGGACTTCCTTTTCCATTTGGCCAATTTTTTTTTAGGGCATTCTTCTCCTCATTGGCTTTTTGGACCTCTTTTGCCATTTGGGTTAGGCTATTTTTTAAGGTGTTATTTTCTTCAGTATTTTTTTGGGTCTCCTTTAGCAAGCTGTTGACTTGTTTTTCATGATTTTCTTGCATCACTCTCAGTTTTTCCTCTACTTCCCTTACTTGCTTCTCAAAATCCCTTTTGAGCTCTTCCAAGGCCTGGGACTGATTCATATTTTTCTTGGAGGCTTTGGATGTAGGAGCTTTGACTTTGTTGTCTTCTTCTGGTTGTATATTTTGATCTTCTTTATCACCAAAGTAAGATAATATAGTCTGACTCTTTTTGCTCTGCTTGCTCATGATCCCAGCCAATTACTTGATTTTTAAACTCTTTGTTAAGGTAAGAGTCTGTTTCCGATGTGGAGAATGTACTGTCCCAAGCTTGGGGTTTGTACAGCTGTTTTCAGAGATACTTGTAGGGACCTGTAAATTTCAGTTCTTCCAAGGTGGTATGATAAGGGGAGGTGTTTACTCCTTTCCTGGCCTGTGACTACAAGTACTCTCTTCTGTCTTGTAACTGTGAGGAGGGGTTCCTCTCCACAGCCACTACAAGCTCCACCAAGCCAGTGCTCCTCCTCACCCCAGCACCACCGCCCAGAACTGTGGCCCAGATCAAACACGGGCAAAGAGATCCCTGTAGTCCCTCTCTGATCAGCCACTGGATTCCCCCTCAGTCTGTGGGCTGGAAGCTCGGGAAGCAGCTGTCTTCCCCCCCCCCCCACTCTTGGGGAATGGAGCTGAAACCCCGCCTTCCTTTCTCAGCACCAACAGAAACAGACTTTTCCCACTGACCTTCTAAGTTGTCTTTGGCATTGGTGGATTGTGGAGTCTGGAAACCTCCACAGCTGCCTGAGATTCAGTCCTCTGAGGCCTGCTCCAGATTCGCTGTGGCCTGCGCGGCCGCACTGCATTGTGCTGCGCTCCCAGCCCCGCGCGATATACCTTTCTGATCAATCATCCAAGTTACCTTGGGCTGGAAATTTATTTCACTCTGTCTTTTTGTGGGTTCTGCTGCTTCAGAATTTGTTTAGAGACATTTTTTATGAGTATTTGGAGGGGTTTGGGGGAGAGCTCAAGCAAGTCACTGCTTTCACTCTGCTGTCTTGGTTCTGCCCCTAAATTCTTGATAAATATATTTTTTCATTCATTCTTTCCCTCTTTCCCCTATCCTTTCTTTTTTTTTTAATCTTTCTGTTTTCATTCATTGTCTCTATATTCATGTCTTCACGTCTCCTTGGAATCGAATGCTTTTCTAAAGCCTGTCCTCATATATATATAATGTATATATATATCCACATACATATATGTGTACATTTCCAATACATATATGTATATACATATGCATATACATTCTATATATTTTATTTTCTCTTTTTTTATCTCCATTTGTATTTCTTTTCTTCCCCCCTCCTCCTTGTCATCATACTTTGCTTTCATTCTTTCCCATATACTTTCCTTTTTCCACTTTAATAGTGATAATAATTAACCAACTCTTTATAAACAGATATTGACCCTCCCAGAAACCTCCGTGCATCTGATGTAACCCAGTCTAGTGGTACTGTGACCTGGACACCACCCTCTGCTCAAATTGATGGCTATATTCTAACTTACCAAGCTCCAGATGGCACCAGCAAGGTATTTGACTTTTTATGTCTTTTCTTTCTGTCCCTCCCTTGTTCACCTGTATTTAAAGTACCTAAGCTCAGTCAGCCATCTTGCTGACCCCTGGGAAATGTGACAATCATAAATCAATCAACAAATATATATTGAGTGTCCACTATGGCCAGAGCTCCCATGCTTGACTTGGTTATTCTGAGGAGGATCCCATTTGACTGAAATGGTAGAAGGCATGTGCCATGTCACAGCTGTCACAGGGTGACAATTCAATGACTCCTGGGTAGATCCATTTTAGATAAATGATAGCTATTGTGGTAGCTACCAGTTTTGGCCTGGTGAAAGAATCTCAGGGGACAGTAATACCTGAGGTCACATTTTTCATAGTATTTTGTTCTTTGACTGCCTTTGAGGCAATCTTCAAGACCTACATTCTGTGCCCTAATAAAAACTTCCCACTTAAAAAAGTTATGGCAAACACTCTACTCTTCACCCAAAAGGTTATCTTTTTCTCCCTAAATATCTTTGATTCAGCTCAATTCAATTCAATTCAGTTCTATAATCATTCCTTAATGTGCCAGGCACTGGGGATAAAAGACAAAAAAATGAAATGGTCATATCCTTTAAGGAACTTATATCCTGAAAACAGTGGTTCAACAATCATTAATTATCCTCAGATTCAACATATCTAGCACTAGAAATAGGACATTCCCATTTCAGAGCTTTAGGATTTATTGCTCTCTAAGCCTCATGTCTTTGGCTGATCTGTATATCAGGACCTCTAGGAAGAATTCTTTCTGCTGAGTAGCTTTCAGTTTCGGGTAGACCAAGCTTCCACAGGTTCCATAGAAGCATGTCTTGGGGTAAGGGGCAAGAAAAGGATTATACTAGTGGTGTTATAGCAGCATCATGAATCCTGCCATCTGAGAACCAAACTTTTAACCTACCAAAATCCTTCATGTCTTCATTTCAGTTTGGGATTGAGCGGTATCTCTGAAATTGCTTTGATTATTGAGGCTTTGTTTTGTTTTTCTAATGGGGAAACTGATGTCTTTTGTTCGTCTTCACCATACTTTAAGCCTATATCTGTTGTACTTGAAGGGTTGAAAAAAAAACCCAACATGGTGTCATCACTTGTTGAAATCAGAGAAGGCCAATTTTAGAGCTCTAAAATGCTATTTCTAGGACTAGCTATGCTAAATCTCTCAGGGCCCCCATGCAACTCCTGATAAATTAACAGGGAATTGCTAATCTTTGACATGGAAGGAGTTTCCATACTGGGAGTCTGCCTACTGAACTAACTTACAGATGTAAGTCAGTCCTCTTCCAACCCCCACAAAAAGTAAAGGACACCTGGGGCTAGTTAAGAGTGTTGGACTTGGAATAAGGCAGGCCTAATTCAAGGTTTGAATTCCAACTGTATTCTCAAATGAGATTTAAAAAATTATTTTATAAATGTGAAAGTACTACATAATATTATCATCATTATAGTAACTTCCTAAGTAATGTTCAGTTTCTCATGAATCAAAACCATCTTGCTCAATGCTGCTAAAACATGGCTTTCCATATGTTACTCCCTTGCTTTAAATCTTTGAATGACGCCCCATTACCTATAGGGTAAAGTGCAAACTCATTCTCCTGATATTTAAGGTTAGATCAAGTCAACAAGAACTGTGCTATGGGATGGGGATGCAAAATTCTGGCCATGGCCTATTTTTTCAATCTTATCTCTCACTGTTACCCCCTGAGCATATTCTGCATATGCCTCTGTACCATTGTTCATGAAATATTTTTCCTGTGGAATGCTCTCCCATTTCCTCTCCATAATTCCAAACTGCCCCTCCAAGCTTTACTCAAGTCTTATTTCCTTCATGAAGCTTTCCCAAACAGCATAGTTCATAGCATTCTCTTCCTACTCTGAACTCCTATATCTTTCTGTCTGTATTGTTCTTTTGGCCATATACTATTACCACATACTATTCTGCCCTATATTGTTTTCATTTATTTTTGAGATGGGGTACAGTTTTAATCTGTGAATTTCTCAGTGGGAGTAACTCTCCACTGTATTGAAATCACCTCTAACCATTAAGATCAGCAATTCCCTGGTAACAGAGTGAGGGAATTGCCTGGGAGCACTGAGAGATTAAATATCCTTCCCGTGGTCACACAGGTAGTATGTGTCTCAGAGACTGGGCTTGAACCTAGGTCTTCCTGGCTCTGAGGCCAGTTCTCTACCCATTATATCATGTTGCTCCTTCTATATTTTTAGTCGTCTTTTTTAGATTATCTTTTTTATGCTTCCCAAACTGGACTGTAAACTTTTTGAAAAAGTCTTGTATTTCCCTTTGTCTTCTGTAATGCCTAATAAAATTTCTTGTACATTGTAAGTGTTCAAGAAATATTTTTTGATTGATTAATTCTGGATTAGATTGGGTACTATTGGAGATCATCAGTGGATGATAAAAACTGTCTAAAAATCTAGTACCAACTTTAGCCATAAATGTGGCTAGTTTGCAATATCTTAATCACATGTCATACTCTAGTTGATGCAAACTTATCAAATGGAATAATGTTATACTCTGGTTGAAACCAACTCATCGAGTTGAATAACCAATTCTTTAACATGTGTTTGCATGCTAGGAGGTGAAGCTGGGACCTTGGGACCAGAGGTTTGAGCTGCAAGGCCTTGGGCTAGGAGTAAGGTACACGGTTTCTCTGGTAGCCTTTAAGGGTGGTCGCCGGAGCAGGATAGTATCTACTGACTTATCCACAGGTAAGATGGAGTCTCAAGCCTGGAAATAATATGTCATGGGCATTGTATAAAGCAGATGCCAGAAAAGGAGAGAGGAGCTCTAGACAGAAGCAAGTGGGTGAAGTATTGTGGTTTACATAGAAGTGAAGAAATGAAAATGTACTGTGATTAAGGGCTGGCTTTAAAAGTCCAACAAAATTACTCTGATAAATACATACACATATATATATCTACAGAAATAGATATATGTCTGTATATGTGCATAGACCTACATGTATATGTGTGTCCATATATGTGTGTGGGTGTAGAGTGTGTATGTACATATATGTATATGTATATACATATATATATATATATATATATATATATATGGAGAGAGAGAGAGAAAGAGAGAGAGAGGGGTCTATTAGGTATGTTTGAGAACTGTTGGAGAGCAAAGTAAGTAGGAAAGATAGCATACATAAGGTACCTAGACAGCTAGGTTGTGCAGTGGATAGAGTACTGGGCCTGGAGTCAGGAAGACCTGAGTTCAAATCTAGCCTCAGACACTTACTATATGGGTTACCCTGGGCAAGTCACATAACCCCCCCATTTGCTTCAGCTTCCTCATCTGCAAAGTGAACTGGAGAAGGAAATAGTAAACTATTCTAGTGTCTTTGTCAAGAAAACCCCCAACAAGGTCATGGAGAGCTGGACGTGACTGAAATGAGTGAATGACAACATGTGAAATAATAGCCAAACAGATGGTGCCCTCCCAAACTAATGAAAAGCCCGACTTGTGATTTCTTTCCCTTTCATTAATGATGCTTCTTCTTCTTGGTTCCCAGTTGGGGCTCGTTTCCCCTACCCATCCGACTGCAGTCAGGTTCAACAGAATGGAGACTTTGGCAGTGGCATGTACACCATCTACCTGCACGGTGATGTCGACCGGCCCATGCAAGTATACTGTGACATGGACACTGATGGCGGCGGATGGATTGTGAGTGACTTGATTCTCCCAGGCTCCTTCGCCTCGCGATTTGTTTCTTGGCCAAAGAGTTAGCAAGAGCTTCTCCACAAAGCCTTGGGAAATTAATTTCTTCATTTTCCGTGGAATAGAACTGTTTGTCTGCAGCATTACTTAAAGAGATATATATTAGTTATTAAAAAAAAAGTTGCATCCCCAAGGTTTGGAAAGAACCAGGCTTGAATTATTTAGTCCAACCCAAAGTCAAAAGTGAATCCCTCCTATAATATCACCAGTAAGTAGTCTTCAACCTTTGCTTGAAGACCCCTAATGAGGAAAAATAATTCATCTCCTAAATCAGAGCATCTCCCCTTTTGGGCATCTCTAATTGTCAGTAGGTTTTCCCTTACATTCATCAAGGCTTAATGTGCCTCCTTGTAGACACAAAAGTAAAAAGACTGATCTGTTTGGCTTACGATCCTAAGGCTTTTCATTTCCATAGTCCTTCACGCTTTTCAAAGTGATTTTATACACAATATCCAGGAACATGGTAGTACAGTGGAGAACAACACTGGGTTTGGGATCTGGAGATCTGGGTTCACATATCAGCTCTGCTCCTTAGCTGGGTGGCCTTTGGCCACTCACTGGTCTTTGCTGAGCCTCAGTTTCTTCAACTGGAAAATGAAGAGGGAGGCTCAGACAAGATGACTTTTAAGAAAGCTTCTGTGTGTGACAAATTTCATAACAACCCTTACCAGTGGGGAAACTGAGGCACAGAAGAGTTCAATCCAATCCAAGAGGCAGCTATTAATGTGTCAGGCATGTTGCAAGGTGTGGCTTAAAAGAAATATGTTTGTGTGTGGACCTGTGATTTCATTAGTGTAGAACTGGTGAGAGAACGCCCTCTATGAATGCAGATCAACAACTGTTTTACAACTTAACACTTGGAGCCGCACTTACTCAGGGTCACACAGTCAATATGTTATCAGAGACTGGACTTGAACTAGGCTTGGTGAAGCCTATGAATCTCATCCAATAATTTTTGAAAAATTCATAATGGAAGGAAATGCTACATTTTAGCTAGAGGTTAGTGAAAATAAAGATATAGTTTTTCCCAACCAAGTTTGTAGATCCCCTGAAATCTAAACTTGGACCCCTTGGGGGATCCATGAACCCCAAGTTATGAACCCCTGAAATGAAGGCCATCCCTCTCTCTATCCACTAGAAAAAAATGAAATTAGCTCCTGCCCTCAAGAATATTGCATTCTGCTCACTTCTTTCTGTTTCTTTGGTATATATCTTGTATGGACCTAATTATTTACATGTTTTCTCTGTCATGGTATGTGAATTCCTTGAGAGCAGGGGCTATCTTTTACCTTTCTCTGCATCCCCAGTGCTTAGCTTAGTGCCTGACTACAGTAAGTGCTTAATAAATGCTTATTTACTGACTCAGCAAATGAGTCTCAGAATTGAGATTAGATTTCTCTTTTGCATTTCCCACTGCAATAGCATGTTAATAGCTAGCCAGCCCAATCCACTCATGGCTTGAAAACACATTATCTGGAGGCATTCTGGAACAGGGTCATCTATGTAGGGGTCATTTGCCTTGGCCATCTGAATGAAGGCTTGTTGCCCAGGTACAGAGGCCCTAGCTCTGTTTGACAGAAACAAGGGCATTTGAGACTTGGGTCAGGATGATAAAAGCAGGACATTTTTGGCCCTCTCTGAAGCTCCTGCTTCTTGGCTTTATTCTCTTAGAGCTGTGTCCGTATAATTCACCGAGGCTCCTACTCTGATCAAATCAAACTCATCCAATTAACTGAAGAGATGCCATAAAGTACAACCTGATCCTCTCTAGCCCTGTGCCCCCGTTATTAGAAGACCTTATTGCTTCCTCTCCCCTTCTGCCCTGCAGTGCTCTGTTTTGGCCACCCCCAGCTCATTTCAGGTAGAGGGAAGATAAACTCAGGGTGCTCAAACTTTATTCATTTACCCATTTGCTCAGGGGGCCTTTGAAGCCAAATGGACTGGAGCAACCACAGATAAAATGATCCTGTCTGATAAGCAGTGAAGAAGAAAACTTATTAACCGCACAGCTGCCTCTGATGGCTAAAAGGCAATAATTGGATTGGGTGGGGAATTCCAGATTGATTTGTAAAAGGGACAGAAAGGAGAGTAATATGGGCAGCCTTCCATGTGACCAGACCCACAAGGCTATACCTGCTGCTTTTCATCTGTACCATTGTAACTTAGTAGATATTGTCCCTTCAGGCTCGAAGACTCAGTTCTGGGCAATTGTGCCTACAGTAGACCACTAGGCAAAAATTTTCAAGCTGTCTTTCATAGTTGCTGAGATCCAAGGCAGAGGACAGAAAGTGACGTGTCTTCATGGTAATCTGATGAAAAGATAGGTCAGCCTGCCTGGAAATGTCTGCCTCCAACATGTCCTGGCTCTTTCCTAGAACATGGAGATTGGTCCCAATAATAATAAAGTTACTTAGCAACGACCAGTGCTAACTGTTAGTGTAACCGATGCAAACCTCCCCCAGCTCTTGTCTTCTGTCCAAGTCCCAGTGATGAATTGTATGAATTTAGGCTCTCCCAATTCTTTGCTCAAAGTGAACACACTTTAAGAAGCATTCAGAATTCCCTAACTTCTCCCCACCACTTTTTGTGGGTGGTTCCAACATCTGTGGTGTTCAAGAAATTGATAGGCTTTGATGGCCCACCTTTAGAAAGCAGTCCCAAGCTGCTGAATGCTCTAAATCCTTTCCAGAAGAAATCTCCTGTACAGTGGGCAGCTGCAAGTTTGCTATTTAGCAGAGGGCAGAAGAGACTTGCCTTGATGGACCTCAGGCTGTTGGTTGGGAGCTGGAATTAGGAACATCAGGGAACACTTACAGTCCTATTAGGTAGACTAGAGCCACTTTTCCATCTTTGCTTTCTATGTTCTCCATCTTGAAAGGCTTGTGGACTATAATAGCAGATCTTTCCATTGGCTTGAAAAATGTATCTATAATTTTGTTGGTGTAGGGAATTCCCAGAAAGGACTTTTTTTCTTTATCAGTGCGAGTCAGCACCTGCTTTGTGATTTAGAGTGTTCAAGAGTTGCCTGGGCCACTTGGAAGTTAGAGAGTTATCCAGGGTCACACAGTTAATATGTGTCAACGGTGGGACTTGAATCCAGGGGCTAGTATAATTGATCTAGATGTGAAAGTGACCTCAGAGGCCATATTACATATAAGGAAACTGAGACACAGGAAGGTTAAGTGACATTTCCAAGGTCAGTAGGCAACAAATAATCAGAGGTAGGATTTGAATCCAGGTCCTATGCTTTCAGAATCTGTACTCTTTCTATTGTATCCACTTTAGGCCCTTGTGGAGAGTCAGTCAGTCAGGAAAATAGTGTTCATTAAATGCTTACTAAGTGCCATGATAAACTGGGAGTAATCTCAGATTAATGGAAACTGGGAAGCGATTCTTGCAGAAGGTGAAGCCTGGAGGAAGCCAGGGAAGCCAGGAAGCAGAGGGAAGGAAGGAAGGAATTCCAGGCATGGAGGACGCCAGTGAAAATGCTCTGAGTTGGAGATGGAGTGTCTTGTTTGAGGAACAGCAAAGAGGCTAATGGCATTGGATTGCAGAGTATATAGAAGGGAGCAGGTGTAATAAGGCTGGAAAGGTAGGAGGGAGTCAGGTTATGAAGAGCTTTGAAAACCAAACAAGATTTTCTTTTTTTTAAAAGTTAATTAATTTAATTATTTTTAATTTTCAACATTCACTTCCACAAGATTTTGAGTTCCAAATTTTCTCCCCATCTCACCCTTCTCCCATCCCAAGACTGCATGTATTCTAATACCCCTTACCATGATCTGCCCTCCCTTCTATCACCGCTCCTTTCTCTTATCCCCTTCCCCTTCTGTTTTCCTGTAGGGCAGGGTAGATGTCTATACCCCATCAAACAATATTTTTTTATTTGATTCTGGAGGTGTGATAGGGAGCCACTGGAATTTATTGACTAAGTTTACTATGTGGGCTGGAGAGTAAGGAGTGGACCCCAGAGAGGAGTGAAGACATGGCATCTCACCTGCAAGAAGGTGGCATAAAGTCTCCAATGTAATGAAAAGTATGAGAAGTAATTAGAAAATCACCTGATCAAAAGGTTGATGAGCTCCGGAAGGAGCCATTTCTTTGAGGTTTCGTGTATTGATTTATTGCCCCCCTTATGAATTAATTCATTATACCACAAGGTCAGAAATAGCTAGAAAATTAAGGGAAGTATTGAGAAGAAATTAAATCTGTAACAGATTTATCTAAGAAATTCCTGGGGCAAAATGTGGCCTAAGAGGAGAATCTACAGAGAGCGAAGGAAAGCAATGCTCATTTATTCTAAATTTTTCTTATGAGTGTGTAAGATTTCTCAATTTCAAATAGAGTCCCTTCACTCTTAAATCTCTGTATGCCGATATTTATCACCTATTGTTTCTTCAAATTCCTCTTTCTTATTCACCACTAAAAAAAATAGCCTGACTTTGCTCTTGCTCAAAGGGGAGATCTGACATGTAAAGCTCCCTCAGGTCCCAAGTACAGAATGGTTCAGGATACCACAGAAAAATTATTTGATGTTTTGTTGCTTTCAAGGTAAAATATTATAGGACAATGAGTACTTCTGCTTACATAGAAAGCTTTATGAGGCTCAGATGATTAAGAGGCAGCAGCTGGCATTCACATTAGAGCTGGAGGGGACCCAAGTAATCATCTGGTCTGACTTTATTTTATAGCTAAGGAGACCAAGGATTAGAGTTTAGTAGCAAAGCTGAGCCCACTACTCAGGTCTCTCCTGACTTCTGTTCCATCCAGTATTCTTTCCACTCTACTATGTAGCTTATGAGGGCAGCTAGGTGGTGCAGTAGACAGAGTCCAGCTTCAGACTCTAGTTGTGTGATCCTAGGTAAGTCACTTCACCCTATTTGCCTCAGTTTCCTCATCTGTAAAATGAGCTGAGAAGAAAATGACAAACCACTCCTATATCTTTG